GATTCAACGATTACTTATGGACCATATGAAAAGTTACCACCATTTTCTTATGAGGAATTAACAGTACATTTTGAAAATAATAATAAATTCCTCACGGTTACTAGAATCGAAAGATCTATTGAGATATCTCATTGGGGTAATATTGCTGTAGAAGAAAGCATCGATTTAGTACACACTGGTGCTCAACTAAAGGGATCTTTCTCTCGCTACGAATATGCACGTGAAACTAAAACCGGACAAGCAAGCATTCAAAGTTTTGATACTATTCTGCCTGCTGCTGCTTCTGACATTTATTATAGAGACGAAATCGGAAATATTTCTACATCGCACACGCGTATTAAGAAGGATTCCGTAGAATTGAATTTGCGACCAAGATTTCCATTATTTGGCGGATGGAAAACACGTTACACAATTGGTTATAATGTACCCAGCTATGAGTATTTATTCCATTCTGGAGATGAATATGCATTGGAAATGAGATTATTGGACCATATTTTTGATGACATGGTTGTAGACGAATTAGTTGTCAAAATTGTTCTACCAGAAGGATCACGTAACATTAAATTAACTTTACCATATCCAGCTACACGACTGCCAGACGGCTTACATTATACTTACTTGGATACTACAGGTCGTCCTGTCATTTCTGTCACTAAAAAGAATTTAGTTGAAAACCATATTCAAAATTTCAAATTGAAGTATACTTTCCCCCGTCTTTTGATGTTACAAGAACCGCTACTTGTAGCACTTGCATTGTATTTGTTATTTTTGTTGGTCATAACATATGTTCGATTGGACTTTTCTATTGATAAGGATGAAATATCAGAAAGTAAATTACGTATTGCTGGTCAATGTGAGAAAATCTTAGCTGCACAAGACCGTCGAGTAACCTCGTACAATGAATTAGATGACCAATTGAATTACGTAAAAACTAACAAAGATGCCAATGCATTTTTATCTGCTGTAAAGAGCATTAATCAAGAATACAAAAGTGCAACAAGCGCTGTCGCAGAAATAGCTCAACGTTTGAAGGGAGAGTCTGGAGATATGTATGAACGTGTTCAAGAACTCCAAAAATATGACAAACTATTGAGAGAACTTTACAACCAACAACAATCGCTCTATGTAGATAAACTAGTACCAGGAAAAATTGGTCGTCAGCAATTCGTCGAAGCAGAATCAATTATCAATAGAAAAAAAGAAGAATGTGTAGAAAAAATCAATGCCATTGTTAAGTCACTTCAATAATACTACTTTCATAAATTACGTGTTTAACACATTCAGTGAGTTTCAGAACAAAAGACTTAGTAATAATGGTGCATTTGCAATACTGTAAGATTATTATCACATTTGTAAATTAATCTAATATCAATTTGAAATGATGAAGTAAAAAGACTTACTAAAAATGATTCATGCATGATTAATATGGCACTTTAATTGTATTATAAGATTTTTAATAAAGAAGAAAGTAAAAATGAAAGAAAAAAGGAATAATAATCCATAATTTGGCCCTTTAATAAAAGGATTGATATGTTCATTTGTAAAAATTATTTCTTGTAGTAAAAAATAATTAATATAATTATAAGAAAAAATTATAATTTAATATAATATTATATATTGTTGTAACTACTGTAATAGTTGTTTATACATTTATATAGAAATTTATTTCATTTTTCAAATAAAAACTAATATTACTTTAAATCTATATTTTTGTCTTTTCCTTTTATTATTATTATTGTTATGTATTATACACACACAGTGAAAAATGAATTAATAAAAAAAGTATCGTAAACGTTTCAATATCGATAGAGGAATTTCGAGTTCGTTATCATATCACATTTTCTGGGTTGTCACCCCTGAAGTTTATCTCTTGTTAGATCTCGCAAATGAAGTGGTTGCTCTAAGACAAAAATTGCACCAATGATAGCTTAGCACTACTTGTAACGTATGGGAAATGAAAACGTCAAAGCTTTGGAAACAGTACTATCGTCCATGTGTCAACTCATAGAGCCGGTTAACTAAAGGACACCTGCTAACCTCTCAGGGTGTGCCGTGCCTTTTTTCGATTGTCATTCAATATTCATATTTTATGCTTGCTGCCAGAATGACTAATTTACGAAAATTTATAGGTATCATATTTATTTATATATTTTTTTGAAATTATTTAATTTCATTAACGTAGTTATATTATAATTATAATAATGGCTACATGTGTGTGTAAAAAAATATTTAAAATTGAAATTGCATCAGTGTGATTATTAAAGGAAAATATTTAAATAATTTAATATTTTGTTAGATATTGGAGCAAATCTAACTGATCCTATGTATCAAGGAATTTACCATGGTTCACAGAAACATCAGCCGGATTTAGATAAAGTTCTGCAGCGCAGTTGGGACAATAATCTTTCAAGAATTATTATCACTGCGGGTAATATAGAGGAGAGCAAAAAAGCTTTAGAGATAGCTAAAACGGATGGTGAGTTTTTTATTTTATTTTTTTGTTAATTAACTAAATGAGCATGTAAAAAATCTTTGATGACAATGTGCTAAGGTATTAACTAAAATAATAAATAATGAAAATAAATGGAGCATTGTTACTGTCGCGTCTCTCTATCAGGAACAACATAAAGCTCTATCTGTAGTACATAATTCTCATGATTATGAGTTAATAGATTTTATATTATATAACATAACTTATATTTATTGTCATTAGATCTTTATACAATAATTGTGCGAGAAGGAAATGCTGAGAGAGAGATGCTATGGTTGCTGTGATTCTGTTCTGTATCTGTGACAAGAAAATGCATGCGAATGGCATTACACATTTAACTTATGCTATTATACAAATATTTCTGAGGTATTACACTTTTATCTTCATTTTATCAATCAAATTTGGCTCTCTAAGCTGAATTATATTTCAATGTGTATTTCAGAACGATTATTTTCGACGGTTGGTTGTCATCCAACTCGTTGTAATGAATTTGAAGAGCATGAAAATCCAGAGGATTATCTCAAATCATTGTCAGACTTAGCATTGGAAAATAAAGACAAAGTAATAGCCATTGGAGAGATGGGTTTAGATTACGATAGATTGCAATTTTGTCCCAAAGAGATTCAAAAAAAATATTTTGAAATGCAATTGTCTTTGTGTTCGATCTTAAAATTACCGATGTTTTTACATTGTCGTAACGCCAGTGAAGATTTTGTACGCATTTTGAGAAAGCACAAGGATAAAATAACTCCTGGTGTAGTTCATTCTTTCGACGGTAATCCGGAAGAAGCTAATTCTATTTTACAATTGGGATTGTACATCGGTATTAATGGATGGTAGGCAATTATTGTTTGTCTTTTACATTTATTATTATTTAAACTTGTATTTTTCAGTAATTCATGTTAACAGTTCTCTCAAAACAGAAGACAACCTATTCTCGATCACATCTATTCCGTCAGACAGACTTATGATCGAAACGGATTGTCCTTGGTGCGAAATTAGAGCAACCCATGCTTCCGCGAAGGATGTTATTACTCATTTTCCTTCTGTTAAAAAAGAGAAATGGCAACCCGATCGTATGGTCAAAGGAAGAAATGAACCCTGTACGATAGTGTAAGTAATTCCTGCTATTAATACCGTCTTACAAGATTAAAAGAAAAGAGAAATATATTATTTATATATTCTTAATATATTGCAGTCAAATATTGGAGATACTGGCTCGTATCAGGGATGAAGAGGAAGAATATCTTTGCAACCAAATATACAAAAATACAATGAAAGTATTTTTTCCAAATGATTTATAAGGTGTGTCGCAATGAATGAGTAACAATTGCATATTTTTCAAGGAAGCACTGTTCATATGCATTTTATATGCGTGCCGTATTTATTACGAATAATCAGGGATATGAAAAAAATCGCGTTCTAAGCAAGACTTAAAGTTTACCAGAAGCATTTACTGACAAAAAACGAAATATATATATATATATAAAAGATAAGAAGAAAGGGCAAATCTCATTTTTACACGCATAGCTTTCGTGGTTATCCTCGGATGCCACGTTCCATTGATCTCTTCTTACACAAAACTACAATATAATAAATAAGCATATACGAGCTAATTTTTTGGTGCATTTGGTGCAATTGGAAAATAAATCTACAAGCCTAAATTTATCAAAAAATCGGTTCACGTGTGCCTACTTATTTTTGTTAAAATTATTGCTATTGCCAACAACAAACATCACCTTCCATCAATCAGATGCACTTTCATTGATATTATCATAATTCTTCTTCTTCTTCTTCTTATTATTATTATTATTATTATTAATAGTATCATTATTAATTAATATTACCATAATTATTAATAATAATTGTTTATTGCTAAGTTTATTAATATATTATTTGGTATTCATACGATTATTATCTGTACACTTGTATTAAATAATGATTGCTAAATTTCATAGATTATTTGTCTGTTTTTATTATTACTACTATGAAAACATTTACAAATTGTAATTTTTTTTTTATTAATCTGTTATTCTATGTAATGTTATATTAACATTTAAAAAGTATAATTTTTGAATATCTTTGTGAGTATATCGGAAAAAATAATAAATTTTATTTAAGATGTTATTTGATGAGTATACATAAAAAAAAAAGAAAAAAATTTTTCGAATACATTAATGATACATTAGATAAATGTTATTAAACTAAAATTTCGTCTTCATTAACACACGTGTTTCGTTTCTGATACTAGTAACAAGTTAAAAAGAAAATTCCATATTTACGTATATAATTATCGTCGATAAGTATTCAAAATGTTTCGGAAATGCATATTATAAATGCCAAGATTTGGATAGGAGACACATTTTTGGAATATCACAGGTACGATGGCCGCTATGACATGATCATTGAAACTATACAACCTTTCTTTCATTTCTTAACAAATAAATGCAGAGACAGGAGGCGATTTCATTTACAAACAATGAAATCAATTGGAAATTAAATAACTAAGTTATTTCATGAAACTTTTGAAAATGATTGTACTTTTTCGTATACCCAATCGTAAGTTTGACTGGCGTACGTCTGCGTTACATTTATAGCACGATTAGCAAAAATTTGAAGACTTTCTGGACTGAGTTTGCCGCTGAAACAAGATAATAAAAAAATCAATACAAATAAAAAGAAAAATAAATAAAATTATAAAAAACTACAATTGTTACATAATAATTTGATATTATATAAAAACTTACATGAAAACATTTTTTTGTAACCAATGACTTGCAAAATGGAAATGTTCGGTAAGTTTTTCTCCGGCTATTATTGAATAAGTTTTAACGAGTTGAAGCCCTCGAATGCTTTGCTCTTCAATTTCTTCAATCATTCCCGGAAAATAATGCTCGATCTGCAGAAGAATAAACAATTCAAAGTTGCGTTTAATAAAAATACAAGCTAATATTAAAAATAATTTACATGTATACATACTGTTTCATGAACCACAGGTCCATTTTTTTCTATGCATAATGCTACATTATTATACAATCGCATAGAAAGATTTCTTGTTATCAGATACAAATCAACTCCTAATTTAATGTATGGTGTACAAAAGTCAACAGCAGCTTTGTGATATTCTGGTGAACTATCTTTTATAGTTTCACCTATTTTGTTGGTATACACCTTAGTTGTCGACCATAATTTCGATGTATGCGCAGTTATTCCACTATTTCTTAAAAATTTTCCTGTATCTGAAGCTAACACAAAAAAGAAAATAAAAATAACAAAAACAAACAACACCAATACTATAAAATAGAAAATAATTAACAGCTAGTAATTAGACAACAAAATTATAATACAACTTACCTTCAAAACTGCCATGTTTCTGATAATCATAAGTTAAAATAGCACCAATAAGTATTAACAAAAATAAACTTCCTTTTTTCCAAGCAAATTTTTTATCGTTGGAAGCAGTCATTTTCTTTAATATTGCCTAAAAAATAAACGTAAATAAAAATTTATGATAATTAGTATTAAAAGGAGGAAAATCAATATGTAACAACGACAAGGTTTTTCAAATCGTATTAACGGAATTACTATTGGTAAGAATAGGAGGAAGAGAGAGAGAGAGAGAGAGAGAAACGAATTGTTATCTAATAATTTTCTCTTTCATTAATTACATATTGTAGATAGATGAGAATAAACGATAACAAATATCACATCGTTAGCTTACCTTCTAGAATTAAAAGTTAAAGAAAATCTAGATTTAATTGTATTATTATATTCACGCAGGATAATAGAGAAGAGATCGTTAAAGAACTAATACAAGCGTACATACGATGTCAATGTCGTTACTGATGATGACGAAGGGTAACGTGCGATCGATAGTGCGCATACGAAACAACCTAACCTCTAGGATTATTCATACGTATATCAGAAAAAAATTAAAGCTCTAACCAAAACAAATTATAAATAAAATTAAAAAAGATTTAAATGAATGCGATTAACATTTGTTTAGATCACCGATTGTTTCGAAATAATAAACAACCAATGACAACGCGTATATACATTTGTCGTTATATTATTGGACCACGCGTATTTCAAAATATCTTTCAATTAGCGCGCTATTTTTTAAAATTGTAATCAGAATTTTGAAGAGTACTTACAATAAGTACAGTTGAGTTTTCTTAAGTGAAGTTAGACGTTTGCTTAAATTTCTTTACTTTATGTCGGTTTATATGGAAATACTAACTCGTTCTACTTTTTGGAACAGAATTTACGACCTAACTGAACTTACATAGTTTATAGTTTAGTTTTATAGTTAATTTTTCTACACAATAATCGGTACTATTGTATTCTATATTATTTCTATATATTCACCATTTCTTTATAAGATATTTTTTAAATATTTTTTTTTACATTAATACCATAAATATAGATTTTTTGCTTACTACGTATTTCGTTACTTATTTATTGCCTTTTAGATTATAGGAGAATAATACTGAACTAAAGTTTAAATGTTAAAATATAAATTATGTGATCAGACATTAATAATAATATTCTTATTGCAAAATCTATATTTATATAGACAGTCATCATTTTTTTAATAGTCATAATTCTTTTTTATCCTTGTATGCTAGAGCATAATATTTGTAATAAATTATCAAGCAAATCATAATTACAATATTCAACTTACGTCACGTATTTTGATACAAGAATTAGCAAGGCTTTCTTCTTTCCCTTTTTTCCACTTTTCGTTACTATTTTGGAAGAACAAAAGAGTTTCTTTGAAAGATTCCGTATTCAGATTTGATTTTAAGGAATCCCATTTGTTTTCTGTTAAAAAACAAAAGAAAATAAAAATGTTTGATTACTGAAATTTAATTCTATTTAATATAGAAATATATATTCTTACCGATATATGTTAAAAGAAGATTAGATTGATATAAATTCTTTAGATAAATAGATTTCCAAGTAGAAAGGCAATGGACATCTGTAATAATACAATCTGCAAGTGCTTTTACTAATTCATCTCTATAGCTTTGATTTATTTTCTGGTTGATTTTACCAATTAGTGTTTCAAAGAAATTTGAATCATTTATTTTAGTTTTATTTTTGAATAATATCAACTAAAAAAAAATAAATTCATATTGATAATAATAACTTTTAGCTATTATTTTGAATCTTTATGAATATATATATATATAATTAAGTTAGTTAATTTCTTTGTAAAAAAGAAAAAACCACTTACTCTTAATTTTTCAATGCTAATATCTATATCCTTTCCAACAGTTAGAGGAATGTTATATTTTCCAGAATAAGTATCTTCTATTATATTTAAATAAAGTTCTGGAGTAAGATCTTGTACGTTTTCATGGCCAAAGACAAGATCATTCAGAAGTTGTACAATATAGTTGGCATAACTTTTAGTTATCAATAATGGTGACATCACTTCGTGCCATACCTTTAAACCAACGACTAAATCTTTTTCGCCGGCTTGTGACAGTGCCCAAAGTAAAGACAAACCTATGGTTTTTCTATTCTGATAAGAATTTCTTACGCTTATTAGTTTAGGAATATTAGCTATGGTCATTTTTGGATTTAAACGTGCCAAAAGTTGCAAAAATATTTTATGACCAACGACGGGTGTTCCTTTGGCCATATCGGTAGCCATGGTAGTTAAAGTAATTTCATAAAATAATTGAGCCGTTTGTTCACCCGCCATTTTAACAGCTCTTTCCATGGTAGATGATATTGATTTTGGTACGATGCTTAATGGATAATCTTTAGGTTTTCCAGAAAATACAGCATCTTCTTTCTCAATCGGTATCTTAACGTTAAGATACGCAACGAGATTCTTTAACCATATTAACGGAGCTTCTGGATACTGGAGTTTACCAGTAGTTAAAATATCTGAGAAATCATCTGGATTAATCTGTAAATATAACAGAACCGATATATATTAAATTGTAACATAAAAATCCAATTGAAAAATACAAATTATACGTATATACCGCATTAAGCGCATCCTTTATCGTCTTTGGTGGTTTCTCCTTAGGTTCTTGTTTCTTTTTCTCAGTCTGTTGTTGCTGTTGTTTCTGTTGCCTTCTTTTTTCCTCATTTTCTTTTGTCTTATTGTCTTTTTCCTTAACTAATTTCTTATTTTCTTTATTGCTCTCCAAATTGTCATACAAAGTTTTCACTTGATTTAACGGAACTAAGAAAAAGAGATATACTATTAATAATCTTTCACGCTTTCACTTAATGAAAGTTATTCTTTAATTGGCATCTATAGTGCATGTTTGATCATATAACCAAATATATTTTTACAATTATGAAAATATTAATAGATATGAATAAAATATTATATCATTTTAATAAATTTAAATGAAAATCGACCAAAATATTCATGAAATTTTATTGGTAAAAAGAAGATAAAGATAAGCTATAGATAAACATTGAGTTAGGTTAAACGTGTTCTTACGAAAATCTTCGACTTTTGGAGCATTTTCGATAAATTTCTTCTTTTCTGCTTTCGTCAATTTAGTTGCTTTTCCATTACTACGATCCTTTTTATTTTTTCCAACTACTTCCCAGCCACCAGATGACATCTTGTAAAGAACGTGGTAAACAATAAGGCAAATGACAACACTGTCTCGAAGGCACTGAAGTAGCGTTTGTTGGCAGTTTGTTGCCGACTGAACATTTTACGTGGTCGCGCATGCGCATTTTCCTATTTGCCACGCGCTGTACTTTTACTCTGTTATCGATGAAAAAAAGAAAAAGACAAAAAAGACATGTCCCATTTCCTATGCATATCGTAAAGAATTGTAGTAGACATCCCCAATTATTGAGAAAATTAAAACGACGACAAAAATATTTATGAGAAAGTAATAAAATTATTTTCATATAAAATTTAAATAATAAAATATTAATGAAAATAATCGAAAATCTTTTTCAATTTTGATATAATCACAACGATCCAAATATAAAAGGTTATCGATTAATAATATTTTTATAATATATTGTCACATGTTTTTCATTCTTTTTTTTCACTTCGTTTCAGAAATTTATATATAGAAACAGTTAACGTTTATATTAATAAACGATGACGCGGATCTTTAAGATACGTCATCGTTTTCTACCTTTCTCTTTTATATTACTCAAGAAAACCTCTTCTATAATATTAGAAAAAGTTTAAAATATTTATTCTGAAATGATTTACAAAATATTTTACGGAATGCAATCGGAAAGCAAAATTAAATATTTCGAAGCCTGATTTTTCATTGTGGGTAAATTTAAAAATGGCCTTGTTAAAAAGAGAATCAAACGTAATCAAAATAAATCACATTTTTCCAAAATTTTATTTTAATAAATTCTTTTTTTAATTAAATGTAATATTTATAAATTTGATATTTGTTTATAAATGATTCTTTTTCATAATATTGCTTTAAAAATTGATAGAATTTGTTATGGAGAAAATCGCATTATAATGATAGCAGTTAAAAAAAAAGAAGAATGTAAAAATAAAAAAAAATTTTCATGAACAGATATTGATAGGCCGGTATGGGGGGCGTTAGAAGTTTCGTATTTCATGGGGCGTTTTGTTAATTATTTCGCTGCTAATGGTAATTCAACTTAGTCGACTTGGAGCTGTTGGCTCATTTTAACCAAAATGAGGATACCGTGGTTGTTCGGTTTCTTTATCATTTCTTTGCTGGAATGGACTAGTACGTGAATGACAAAATTTTAGCGCCACATTTATAATGAATTTATACAGAGTGATTAATCTATTATCTTCTTTATAATTTACAAAATTATACCTAATGTGATTTAGGAAAAAATAAAAAAAAGAATACTAATAAAAATGTCGGAATTGATGAGTTTAGTAAAAAGAAAAACAAAGATGTGCAGAATTTCATCTTTTTTTTCGTCTTTCTTTGGGTTTTTGATTAATTATTATTATTAATAGATACATTTGTTTTATTGTATAATTTGTAGATGCTATCAAGTTACCGTCAATTATTACACCTGGATGCAAGCCTATCGAGAATACGTCGATGATGATGAAATTAAAGAGACATCTTTTTTGTGAATATGATTCAACCGTTCGACCTACAACCAATCAGCAAGAGGTCACTAATGTTACATTGGAACTCGTACCAAGGTTTTTAGAATTTGTAAGATTTTGTTTAATGTAAATTCTAATATAAAATTAATTATTTCAATATAATATATTATATCGTAACTTTCTTTTTATTTATGTTTTATTTTTTAATTAGAATGATTGGAGTAGTGCGATGACTCTTCACAGTTGGATGGCTCTTGTGAGTAAGATACCATATTCAATTCTTTTTTTATCCTTTGCAAATATTTTTATCTTGATTTTACTTTCATTTTTATTAACAGAACTGGAAGGATGAACATCTCACTTGGAATCCTAGCAATTTTGATGGTATTACTTCTCTTCATATAAGTAGCGATGAAATATGGGTACCAGATTTATCAGTTTATAATTCGTAAGTAAAAAAAATATTTGAAAATTTGTTTTTTCTTCTTAAATTTATTTTTATTATAGTCAAATGATTAACGTTGCAGGGGTGATATGTCATTAGAACAAAATGGTGTTCCCTCGACCAAATGTTTGCTCATTAACACAGGCTCGGTTATGTGTATACCGGCATTGTCATACGTAACCAAATGTATCACGGATTTTACTTTTTGGCCCTACGATAAGCACGTATGTCGTATTAGGTTTGGTTCGTGGTCGCATACTGGAGAAGAAATTAATTTTCATTTCGATAAAAAAGGAGTACGTTTGTTTTTTTTCGAAAAATATTAAATCTTGAACACATGAATTTTTTTTCATAAAAAAGATAATTATTAAAATAATTATTAATTATAGTACGAGATGGACGGTTATGTGAATAATACGGAATGGAGTTTGAAAATCTCAAGTGCTACGAAGACAGTAAAAAAATTCGATTGTTGTCCTAATGATACCTTCCCTGTACTTATTTATACCTTTTTAGTAGAAAGACAATCAGGATTGGTACATGTCACTGTTGTTACACCTGCCATAAGTTAGTTGATCTTGATAATATTAATCGAAATCACGTTTAGAATATTCTTTTGATTGTTTATAATTTTTCTTTTTAAAAGCTATGGTAGTGTTAACATTGACGGTTTTATGGTTGGACTCAAGGTCGACCGAAAGAATAGCAATGGCGGCTATAAATTTCATTTGTCATTTTCTTTGCCTTTTTGATTTGCACTGGCAAGTACCCCATAACGGTGAAAATGTACCACACATTTGTAAGTATCTTGACAAATCAGCAGTTCGTTTGCGCAATATTGAAAGGTTTAATTAAAAAGTCTTAACAATTTCAGTATTGTTTTATCGCGATTCTCTTGCGTTAGCTGCATTCGCATTGATCTTGACAGCTTTGCTAAGAAAATTACAAAATATGAACATGGAAACACCAAGTTGGGTCTCGTCAACAATCACTTTCGTTTTGAATAACAGAGCTGGACGTTTTTTGATCCTAACTGACGATGAATCGAAAACCTCGACCACTGGTATATTGGCCAATGAAACGGAGGAAAATTCAGATTTAACGAAAGTAAGTGACGGGAAGAAGGAATCATCTTGGCGACAATTTGCTGCAATCGTCGAATGGTTGTCTTTCATAGCTGTTGTTTTGACCTACTTGATTAGTTTTACTATTCTTGTACCTTCCAATCAGAGTTAAAATTATTTATAAATAATGTACTTTTTAATTTCTTCTTTTTACGACAATCAAAAAAAGAAAAAGAAAATTTGTACATAAAATTTATTCATTGAATTATATTATTATATTTAAAGATACACATAAATGTATTTTGTAATTCTACTTAATATTTGTAGTATGTACATTGAATAAATTACATAAACTGTTAGTTATTATAAAAAATACTTGTTTCGATTCTTAAAAACCCTTTTAATACTTAATGTGACAAAATATAGAAAGTCAAGCCTAATTAATAATAATAATAATAATAATAATAATAATAATAATAATAATAATAATAATAATAATAATAATAGTTTATTCAATAATTATTATCTAATTTATAAAAAAAATAAACGAAGTGAGTTTGATGAATATTGACGCAGAGATTTTTCTCGTCAAAATGATTTTGATTTAATTGGAATTAACTGGTTACTCCAATAATGTTATGGTGTGCATATATATATAAATCTTTTCAAATGATAAGAATATGATTTCTGGTGGGCGGTCATTAATCTGTGCAGTTTTATATTACATTGGGCGTACCGTCGTTTCTTTCAATTTTAACGTATAAACAGTTCAGTTGTTAAGTACGGACGTTTTAATTGTCATCATTCGCGATGATGTTCAACAAAATAAGCATTATTTTGTTTGCTCTGATATTAATTGGATATGTTACTTCTGGTGATGCATTTTTTTCTTTACGTGATTATGAGGTAGAGGAAAGCATAGGATGTAAAGAAATCGAAACAAAGTCTGCGGTTCTTCAGTTAAGGAGACATCTTTTTTGCGAGTATGTTGAAGATATCAGACCGGTGTCAGATCATAGAACAAAGACATCTGTCTATTTTGGACTTTTGCCGAAATTTATCATCAATGTAAGCATTATTCAGATTTTTATTTAATAAACACATTTTTTTGTTAATAATGAAATGTATTTTGTTTGTTCGTTTTCTTTTATTTCGTTAATATCGTTTGTTAGAATGAGTTAGCTGATTCCATGGAATTACATTGTTGGGCAATACTCGTGAGTAAAATAATATATTTTATGTATTTGTATACATTTATATTTTTTGTTTGTTTTAATATTATTTTTTGTATATTTGTATGTAAGATGTGGCATGATGACCATCTTACTTGGGAACCGTCGCAATTTAACGATGTTAAATTCCTTCACGTAATAAGTAGAGAATTATGGACACCGGATATCATGGTACACAATTCGTAGGTTGATTTTAATATATATATATATATATATTATGTCACTGTTTTATCGTTTTAGATTATATATATTTATTTTTATTTACATTTTATTTGTTTGTTTTTTATCTTGCGTATAGTGAAGAACACGAAATACCATTTGACAATTGCTGGTTATCCAACACAGGTAGAGTCAAATGTGTACTTACAACTAAGTTTTCAGTAAAATGTCTTAAGGATTATACCTGGTGGCCTTACGACGTACAGAATTGTACTATTCAAATTGGTTCCTGGTCCCATTCTAGCGAGGAGATTGATTTTCTTGAAACCGGAGTACGAAATATTTGATTAAATATTTTATTTTAATATTTTGTATTTTCTTTGAATTATATTTTATATAGAATATCATGTACGAGTTTCAAAAAAATATGGAATGGAATGTGGTACAAACTAACGTTACTACCCACACGGAACCTTTCAAATTTGGAATGAATATGACATCTCAAATAATTTCTTTTAATTTTATCTTGAGACGACATTATAACGATATCCGTGTCATTCACTTGTTATTAATTATCAGTACGTATAATTTTTGTTAATATTATTCGTTTATTAAATTATATAAAAATTATTATCTTTTTTTTATATAAGATAAAAAAATGGTTATATAAACATATCGTACGTGTCGCGAAAATTAATTTGAAGTTTGAAAGAGCGGGAAAAAAGATGGCGACACATGCGCAATGGCGGTAAAAATTTGATTTACGTTGATAGATTTATTTCTTTATTTTTTTTTTATTTTTAGTATTAATAATAATGACACTGACGACTCTATGGCTGGATCCAAAATCTATCGAACGAATGATACTTGCTAATTTAAATTTCATTTGTCACTTGTTATACTTACAAATTTTTCGCTGGGATATGCCTGGAATTGCTATTGAATCTGCGATGTTATGTGAGTATTTTTTCGTATTCATTTATATACAAAAAATTTTGTTTCTAATCGACAATTTTATAGATCAGTTTACTTTTTTAATTTTTACTTTTTCACAGTGCAACTCTTCGAAAAGTCATTTGCTTTAGCATGTTTTACTCTTATCGTGACAAGTATTTTACGACGTTTGTTAGAATTAACTACAGAGACTCCTACATGGATCGCAATGAGAATTTCTGCAATTGTTAAGAGTAAAATAGGACGGATTCTTCTTATTAGTATTTTAGATCCTAAAGCATCCGCTGAATTGGAAATTAAAGCCGAAGACAATACCAATCTTGTAAATTTTAAGAAAAATGAAGCATCTTGGAAACATGTTGTGATGCTTATCAGTTGGATCAATTTTTTTTGCATTTTTCTTGCTTACATCATTTTGATTAGCATATATTTTCCAACCGAATCTTCTGGAAATAATATTTAAAACATTTCGCCTGATTATTTTCTTTTTAATAAATTTATAATTGGTAGAGATTAATTAATGATGATGATTTAATCTACTACTAAAAAATTATACTCTAAAACAATATCATATTTGATAATCTTGATAGTGTTAAGTAATATATTAAATTACGAGTAATAACATATTTTTTTTTTATTTTCATTGGAGAAACAAATAAAAAAAAAAGGAAGAATGTTACCTAAATGAATAAAAATGTTTAGTTATAAATACATTTATTTTGAAAAACATCTCAGATTTTGAAAGATTTTTATGCATTCATACAGTCATTCTCACTGTAGTCAAACGTTGATTGCTACCAAAAATTCTCGTCAATATAATTACTTCTATTTCGTATATTGTATATAACAAATTATCATATTAATAAGAAATATTAAATCTTGCGCATTGAGTATCATTGGGCATGTCTTATTATAGATTCATTTTGTTCTCAATTTATAGTCACATGTTGAATAATAGATTTTATTATTATATAATAATTATAGTAATAATTTTCAAATAGAATGAGAAGGCCTTATAATAAGAGATAGCCTTCGGTTTATTTGATTCTTTTTTTAAATGTCGCGGTTCATCTTGTTCCTTTTTTTTTTCTTTTTTTAACAATATTTTCTTACATTATTTACACTCGCGAATGGAGTAATAATTATATTATTGGAAGGAGATAACTTACATACTAGATGTGAATGTTATTTTAATGCACTCTCATATACAAATATTAATATGATTTTTGTTTATAAAAAAATTCTTTATCTAAATAATAATAATAATAATGGAAAGATGTACAAATATTTTCATTACGTATAATTTACGCATGACTTTATAATATAACCATGTAGAAATAGTTAATACAAAAATAAATGCAAAAAAAAGAAAAGAAAAACAAATCCCTAAAGTGATATATAGTAGAAAAACAAGAAAAAACGAAATGGCAGTTGATATATGAAGATAAAAACAGAAGAAATGAAAAAAAATAAAATAGAATGGAATGTTATAACTCTCACTGCGACTGGTAAAGTAAATAATCCTTTAATATCCGAGGAAGTGGAAGAGAGTCTACTGCGTTCCTTTTGGTATATTGTAAAATAGCATCTCTACAGGCGCTTTGTAATGTTGACACTGCATTAAAATATATTTTTATAAATTATAAGCTGCAAATAGATTAAACAGAGAGTAATATGGAAAATAAGGAAATAATGTATACCACCATATAGTTGCACTATTCTCACTTGTTTTGTAGTACCGTAAACATCTACTACAGCATGTAATGGTCCAGCTTTGTAAGGTATATCCTTACTACATACTCCTTGATCTTCTCCATTAATAATAAAATGCATTTCAGCAGTATCTGATCCAGTTTGTGGAACGTACATAATTCCAATACGGCTACCAGCATCGGTGGGTAAAATATAGTGGGATCCAATAGCACTGGGTCGAAGAGCATTAAATGGTATAACACCACGAGATGTTTGAACTTTTACTCCATCTGTGATCAGTTTTTTCTCTCTCATAGGGATACCTTCGCCTTATACAATATAAAATATAAAATTATTTACAAAGACAGTCTACGGATAATAAAAGTTAATTTTTTCTCACCGTAGCCAGTCCCAGCGATACCTTCAAAGCTATCCCAAATATTGTAACTTTTGGTAATAGCAAAGATCCAGCTATTGCCCAGTTTAACAAGATTAGGCATGCCATATTGAGGCAGATTGTTTTTAACGGAGGCTGGATCAATTAAAGTCAAACCAAGACGCATGTGACCGCTCCAACCACTTTCAGTTTTCTCTATTTCAACTAGGAAAATTTCACCAGGTTGTAATGGTTTTTCACTGAATGCTAAAGAATTAGCAAAGCTTGCTGTGCGATAAGCAACTGTACTATCTTCACATAGTATGATGTTCTCCCCATGAGTTGGATGAAATCTCGTTACCATTTTTGTCGATTTTTCAGCCATTCTGTCTCCCCAATGACTTTAAATTTATAATAATTGACTACTAAGAGTCGTCAAATTCCTCAAACATACTAAGAAGTTCGTTGAACTCCATTGATGAAGGGTTGGCCAAGGTTAAACGGGATGATTTACGTTTAATTTCAAATGTATCTTCAATCCGTATTTTGATAAAATAACCTCTAGAATGGAGAGAGCATCTTCTAAATAACACATCGAAATGCTGTAAGATCTAACTGATTCCCTTCTTGGCTACTACATCCTTTAATTGAAACTTGGAATTGAAGGTTAAGATAATGTCATCACTAAATTTGAAATGAATTATCGAAGCAATTAATAAATAAAGCAACGGTTTTAGAAATTTAATTGTGTTGACAAATCCAAAGACTCGAAGTTTAATGACGTAATTTATCCTCGTGTTTACTAATCGAACGTCCACCATTACGAATGCTAGGGCAGCTTGAAATCGGAGCACGCGCGGCTCTCAAAAGGAAATCATTCTCCTCCTCACCGACTGACCAGTGTCGCTGTAATATTAGGAATTAAATACCAGTCGGTTTTAACTTGCCATTTTATATGTATTCATATATGCTTCGCATATGTGTTGGGTAATAACCTCTCGAAATTTCCTATATAACTTATCGGGGAAGTCATTTTCTTTTTATAAAATTTGTCTAAACTGTGGTATATAATTATTGATATCTGATAATTTTTATTATAAAAAAGACTTCTATTTATTCGGCCAATATTTTTAAATAGAGATGCTCAGTATTTATAATAAAATATATATTTATATCAATATATATAATTCTATTTAGAATACTAACAAATTATTTTTAATACTGAATACAATATTTGTATACACCAATAATTTATTTTACAAATTACTAAATATTTATCAAATAAATAGAAATGAAGTAACTTTTTTAACAAATACACATTATTAAAAAGTATATTATATTTTATTTATTCTACAATTCCTCTTAAATAATATATCCAAACGACATGAGAAAGTTTAGGATCTGTGCAAAATACAGAAAGTTTACCTGTTACTGGACATTTTTCGTAAGATTCATTTTCGGAGTCATTCGTTTGTCGTAAATTAACGACGATAGTAATTTCCTTAAAATAGTACACACATTTATTTAATAAATGTTAATCTTATTTCAAAGATTATAATACTAACTTGTTTTGGGTTAATTTCTTGAGATGTTGGTTTGGTCTCGAAATCTAATGAATCGTTAGTGAGGAATTCAAACGTTTTTGTTTTTTTGAAAATATTTTTAAATTTAATAGAAACTGGTGATTTTAATGTCATGGTGTACGGGCCTTGTGGTTTAGGCAACAAATAAGTTCCAATTATGGGATATCTGATTAAAAAGAGAGGATGGATAATGATTACGATGTAATATTCATTTTATCCAAATTGAATCATACACATTTCCCGCCATTTCTTACGTGAAAATGCCCGCCAATTTTGAAGTGGCTGTTAAAACGGCCGTACTATTTTCGATATCATGTGGCTCGTAAATAACATTGATCAAACCTTGTCCTAATCCTTCGATATCAATCTTTTTCGGACAAATAAAACTATTGTTGTTTACCTACATTAAATATTCCAATTATTGTATAAAATATTTATCATAAGATAAAATTTTTGTTTGGGTTTAAATTTGACTAACTTCGATAACAAAGTCGACTTTTTTCGAAGTAACATTTCTTATTGGAAGTGCAAATTTAATAGAATTTCCTAACATCGCTGTTACATGCGTAGTTTTTTCTGTGGCTGGAGGTAAAGCAGTTAATCGTAATTCGTATGGGAAATGTCCAAGTTCTGGACAATTTATATCTAATTTTTCAATCGTTTCTTCAGACGTTAATATTGGATAATAATTGATTGTAATAAATTCCTAATATTTTATCGTAATGACAATTAAATCTTGATTAAAATAAATTTATCTATAATACCAAGTGAATCAATATTTTAACTAACACTAGACAATGGCCGGACAGTTGTAGGAACGTCATAAATTGTGATTCCTGGATGTTGGCAATTAATTGTAAAAGATATAGGAATTTCCTTTAATGGATTATAAAGTTGTAATGTGTGACATATTGATGAACGTACGTTCGTGATTAATTTGATAGATTCGATCACTTCCGGTTTTGTTATGGTGTATTGTATTTCATAATATTGATATTCTCCATCTTCGTTAATAAATATGATCTATTAAAACAAGAAAATAATATTTGTATAATAATAAGAAATAAGATTTAGATGAATCTATATTAATCATATTCTCGATGTTACCTTGAACCGGAAGTATGATTCTTTATAACAATGAAAAATAGCACGATAGTCGCGTTGATTATTTGCTGGTACATCGATATTATTATTGCCAGTAAAACTGTACATTGGAATACTATTAGATTCTTGTAAAGACAATTTCTTTTCTTCTATGGTTTCTATGATACATTTAAATCGTTGATGTCTGTTCATCCAGTTATACACGGGTAATAATTCTGTATATTTCATTTTTGCAGGGAACTGACGTATAATTGTGGTTACAGCTTGTGGGGGCAAACTGTGTCCACGTAAAGAGTATAATAAAGGATCATTGTTGTCTGGTAATTTTAACAATAATGTTCCCTAAAACATTTATTTTTGGTAATTATATATTTAATACATTTATTATTATTAATATTATTTTTTAATTTGTAGAAAATAATTTACTGACAATAAGTGAATGCATATTTTGAAAAACTAAGTATATGCAAAATGTATAATACAATACTTTGTTTTTTTAGCAACAATATTTTTGTTTAATATTAGTTTAAAAAATATCTACATTATTATTATTATATTAATTTATAGAAAATAGTTCGCATTTACATTGGACAGTTGATTATCGTTCTTTCTATTTTTAGCCAACTAAAGTAGCACGTTCGTTTACCTTATGAAGATTGTCTTCAGTATTCATAACAAGTGGTTGATAAGTGACAATACAGGAAGTAGACTCTTCCGGAGGGATATTGAGAATATTGTCAACGTAAAAATATTCTCCAGATATTTCTGGTTTTAATTTCCACGGCAATACACTGTCATTAAAGACATTTACGGATTTGGATTGTTTCGAACGAACGATTGTCGTAAAAGATAAGGTTTCAATTGGATCCGGTAATTTAGTACAAGCACCACTTATTTTTATTCTCATTGAGTCGTACTTTTCTATCACATTTGTTGCCTGCAGCGTATTCTTCGGATATATTAAGCGTATAATAAAATGGACAATATATATATGCAGGATAATTTGCATAGTGGCTGTCATGATTTTATCTTTAACAAATTTGTCAACCCCGCTAACACTACTATCATTAATATTATAACCGGAAGTGTCTGAAATATCGTTGCGATAGTTATGCAAAATACCCTATTCATACAGGGTGACTTATAATTCAGTTAATAAAAAAATGTAGGATTTTTTTATAAAATGTAATTAACAGATATTAAGTCATATATATAACATTTAATACAAAAAAGGAATTTTGAACAACTATTGTTTCAAACGGTTACTGTTCTAGTCAATTATCTACTGTTCGAGTTAAAGAGGTGAATAACTGCTGATAGTATCTGACTTATGATCAGACCCTGTACTTTAACGACAGATATAATTAAACTCACGTATCCTTCAATTACATTTCCTTCCCGAATCGGTTCAAACTTGACGATAAAATGAACGTTCGTACCAGGAGAAGAGTAGCCGGATTTAGGTGAAATAGTAAAATCTAACGGTAGATTTGACAAATCCCATGTAAACCTTGACGAAGTTTAACAAAATGTATATAATCGTGTTTAACGTTAGTTTGTTCTAGGTAATTTACTTTGCACCGATGTCACCAGTGTTCATTAAAACCAATCCAGTTTCACCAATACAACCATGAACAACGGTACCGAAAGCGATGTACGTTTTGTTTAAACGAAATTCTGGTCCTACACAACTACCACGAAGGATAAAAAGGGATAAAAGGGTCGAGTCAACCATGGCTCCTATTTTCTCAGTAAACATTTTCATCCTAGACGTTGCTTTGAATTTTATCGTCAAATCTATTTTCTCGTTAGGTCGAACTCGCGTTAATTCGGACGGTTCAATAGTCAAAGCTTGAGCAGTATACATCTCGTCCATTCTAAGATTCAAGTCATCTGTATTAGATCCCCTTGTTTCTAACAGGGATACGTGTTCTTGAGATTTGATAATTTCATCAAACGATCTTGCGATACAGATAGCAGGTACTTTTTGCAAGTATCTTTTGTCTCGTGATAGATTGCTTATTAAATCGAATTTCAAGTCAACCGATGCTCGACCCTCATTAATCACCGGTACTTTTTTTATCAGTGTCCTATGTACAGGCAGGTTACCCAATTCGATTATTTTATCACGTGGGTTAACTAGACGAATCTATTTATTAGAACAAAATTGAACTTTGATATTTAAAATGTTAGGATTTGTTGTTAGATATTTTTTGTTTTTAAAATTACTTTGTAAATGATTCCTTCACCAATGATCTTAACATTTTCTTCTATAGTAGAATTGATCAAAAACGTTAAGGTTTCTTCGTACTTTGTTTCTTGTAATGGTCGAAAAATGATAGGAATACTGATACTGGATTTTCCTGCTAGTGCTTGAGATAATCCATTCAGGTTAAGCGACATATGTGGCCGTTCCTCGAACTTGCATTCCAATCTATGGGGTAGAAAATTCATTGATCGATGTGTGTTAGAAAAGAGTGTAATATCGTTATCAAGGAAATCGATGTTCTCACACTAAGGGCTTGTTCTCGCCATTGCTCACGCGCAATTCGGTTCGATAAGGGGACGAATCAAGTTCTCCCACGTAACAGGGACCAAAATCATAACGACGAAAGCTCAATTCTATAGGAGATTTACTAACTATTGCTTTTAAGATCAATTGATAAGTTGGACCTTTTAAAATCTGTTAAAATAATAATAGAAAAATCGGAACAATATACATTTTAAATAAATTTTCTTTAATACTAAATTGAATGAAAATAGTTACCTTTAAGGTAACACTATGATTCTTTATGAACATTTTTCTTTTAGCTATCAAAGTGAGACAACAAGTTGCGTGAGATTCGCTTTTAACGTGACCATTCTTTTGAGGCATGGAAATTGTGTATGCATTCATACTGATAATCTCTGCTGTCATACCAACATCCCAGATATAATAAAACGTTACGTTGCCTGAATTGATTATTTTGAAATTGATAACATTAGATTTTTTGGGTACTACCTATATAAAAATTAAATATATTAGCAAATTATTTTTATTTTCTCATATATTCATGACCCATTTTTGTTTTACTTTGCCAAAGTCAACAATATTGTCTTGATGATCCAACAATTTGATATCCTCACCCTTTGTGTTAGTGTAAATGACGCAAGGCATTATGTTGTAAGTTATGGTGGTTACGATAAATGAAAGTGGATTTCTCAAAAATTTGAGAATACATTGTACAGTAAATTGAAACTCTCCTACTAATGTTGGTTTATAATTTATCCTAAAAGGTTTCATGATTTATAAATACATGTAAAAATTATTAACAATATTTTTTTACCAAAATGTATGCTGGTCGTTTGCTTTAAGAACACCGTTCATGGGTGTCACAGTAATATTTTGATAATGTCCTTCGGAGTAAAGACTTTCTTCCGATATTTTAAAAGAAATGTTAAAATCTTCTTTGTTAATAATACTAACGGAATCTTGTACTTCGAGATCTGTTTAATAAAAATAAATTATATAAAATATTCACTGTATGACAATAAAGTTTATGCGTATGTTTCAGACCTAGAACAGTAGGCTTCAATTTTAAATGAGGTTTCGTACAGCATATTACAGGTTCTTTGACGATAGCAACAAAAAGAAACAGACATTTGAGATCATATTGTTCTATCGAGAACATCCAAAATGATTCAAAAATGCCAACGTCGGTTGATAAAAATGTGAAAACCATTTCAGTTTGTTTTCCACGTTCTGCAATTCCTTCGGATGTTAAACACTGAAAATTGGAAACTTCGTTAACGGAACAAGGAGTGTGATCCTTCCAAGAAAAATGATAATTATCTGCCGTAGGATTAATCATAGAAAATTTTCTGAAAACGAAATTCGAATATTATTTGATATTTAAATTAAATATTTGCGTGTACAAGGTGTTTTCTTACTTTGTGTGAACATTACCAACACCAATGACGTTTAATTCAATTACTCTGATGTTTTCTACTATCGTATCAATCATTGAATATCCAATAGGTCCTGGTAATTGTTGATCACGTTTGCCACTAATTATGTAATCACTTTCAGGTACATCAAAGTGACAATAAGGAAGGACGCTTCTTGCTTTAATAGGTATCACCAATTCTTTTAATTTTGGATTAAGATTATTTATCCTGTAACGTCAAAAATATTATTATAAACATCATATAATTAGAATAATACATTTTTTTAGTATACTATGACCTGGATCAGCCTTTTTTAATATTTTTGCTGTTTTTAATTGTACCCTGGCTAAAGTTTTTGTAATATTCAATTTTTAGCAATATGATATACTGGAGTTATTGTTCATTATTTTACAAAATTAGATATAAGAACTTATTAAGAAATTGTTTAAAAATGAAGTTAAATAAGAATCATTTTGTGAGCCCACACAATTATAATATAAATTTAATGTGGATTACTTTTGAGATGTAGTTTTAAATTGTGATCATACACGTTGAATATTTTGAGATTATATGAGGATAATGAGAGAGATCAATGATCTCTAAAAACATACTTGCAGTTAAGATAGGCCATGTAATCGAATACATCTCTAGGGGAAAATGTCAGAATACATTCTACAGATTCTCCAGGCAGCATCGTCCCAGTTTCAGGAACTATTTTGAACGGAAGATCCTCGCCTTCGAGCCAACTGTCGGTACTTCGATCCGTCAGACAAGCTGTGCTGCTATAAAGATCCGATCCTTTGCAGGTACATGGATGTGGTTTAATATCTAAAAAAGGTTCTACACAAAGAAAAGGGTAATCATTTATTTTTTTTTTGTAACCGATCAAGATCTTTACATAGTTTTCAGTCGACCGACGAGAACCACAATTTTTATGGAGAATCCTTTTTAGCTCACCATAACTAGAAAGTGGTTTACAACGATGTAAACATAAATTATCGTTATCGTTCTCTTCGGTTGGGTAAAGAACACCTCGCGATGATCTAGAACTTGGTCGAGAACGAGATTTACGTGATCTTGATTTTTCGTTTAGGCGTACCGTACTACCTGAGATTCGTTTTGGATATTCCTCATCCATATTTATAATCCATTCGTAATCCGTATTAACGTTGCTTGGATTTGATAAAGTAAACGTGTATTCCCGTTTCTATAGAAATGATAAGGGTCGAAGGATTAACGATTTAAGGGTTTACTCATTAAACAAATATTTATTTATCTTCTTACTTGGAACATTAGAGTGTCTTTGAAATTGATCTCAGATGCTGTAGACAAATATTCCGAATATCCAACAACTGCATTCATTAACAATATTATACACCTAGTTGTTCCAGGTATCGCTATATATTCTGGCTCGATAGTTGGTTTCACGCTCTTTTTCGATAAGCTGTCCTCCTTATTACTATCAGCAATATCGATTTTCTCCCACCGTACGATGGTTTGCCTATCGTCCCAAGAAGTTTCTCCCGTGTTGTTCGATATTTCGATTTGGTTAACGACACACTCAAGTTTTGTCTGAATTTAATATTGTCACGTTTTTTTTTTTTATACAATGGTCCCCCTTTTTTTTTTTCTTTTTTTTTATTAGATACAAGTTGAATTTTCTATTTTCAACAAAACTTACACCATCGTGCTTCTTAGGTTCGGATTCTAGCAAAGTAGCGGTAACTTGTTTGCTCGTTGAATGTTGAAGATGTCCAATCGATGGCATGAAAACAACGTTAGGATGTGGAGTCCATTGAAAACGGAAGCATCGATTTAAAGATTTGTTTATGATCTTGAATGTTTTTGTATACATTTTGTTGATATGACAAGTACCGTAATCCAGTTTATAGGAAAGAAACACCGGTGGTATTGGTTCTAAAATTTTCATTTTAAGATTAATTTGTTTCAACATTTGTTTATCGTGTTTCATTCAATTGTGTTTTATCACCTGTTGACAAACTTAGCGTAGACGATAATTTTTGTTTCTTCGAATTGTTGTATTCACGACGATTGTCGGATTTAAAATTCAAAAGTTCTAAATCCTGAAGTACGATTAATTCGACGAAGCTTTCACCTTCGAGATTTATTATTAAATTATCGTAAGGATTGTCGACAACAAAAAGTCGTATGCGAGCAGTATATTTTCCAATATCTTTCGGATAAAACTTAACTTCGAAACTGGCAACATCTTGTGGCATCGTACGAACAACGACGTAACGATTGTCTCGAACTGTTGGCAAGAAGAAATAAGAATTTCAATATTATTTCTTATCGGGAAATAAAATACAATTTTCAAGTATTTCCCACCATCGTTTACAAAATCCGTAGTACTACGTAAAAGAATTTGAGTCTCAGTAGTAGCTGAGAAGCTGAAGATTGTATTGGGATCATCATAAATTTCAACGATAACATTTGCTTGAACCAATCCGATATTTTGAAAGGCAAACTTGTCGGTACTCGTTTCTTCAACGAGTGTACGATGAAATCTTACGATTGGTCCATCACGTACACTATTGATTGCTGGTGGTTCAGTTATTGTGATTTCCGGTACACAGGATTCGCCGATTAGATCGATTATCCATTTTTCTTCGTCTAAGTGTTTTGGTAAGTTCAATTTAATTTCTAAATAGCCGTGATAAGTCTGGAATAATGAGATAATACTTTTTTTCAATTTTTCTTTTTTAACTTGATTGCAGATAGTGATTGGAAATAAAGTGAGAGAAAAATAAATAATTAAAAGAAGATAATTTTAAATACATCGATCAATGAAGGAGCGAAAGTGATGTTGATCCTTGTATGACTATGAGCTGGTATCCGTTCCTTTTGTGGTTCCACAACGAAAGTCGTAGGTTTCACGTTCGAAGGGCTTTTAACGAAAGCTTTGACTTCTATGTCAGCAGGTACGATACCTCTATTGTGTAGCTCGAAACAACTCGTGTGTGTGCTTGACATAGTGACACGGCGAAAATGGAGGCACTTTGGTTGACGCGCAAATACCGTATGAGCACTGATCTGTTATAGAATAATAATAATAATAATAATAATGATAATATAGCGATATCAAATAACAAAATGACAAGCGTAGAAAATAATTTAAGTTCAAATAATCCGTGGACTATACTGACACAAAATATGTTTACTCGAACATGATATCAATGTGTGGTATGATTTTATTATTATTTTTTTTTCTTTTTCAAATTAATTTGCAACAAATTTGATCTCCGAGCATCGTTTAACCACAAAAATTTTTTCGATATTATATAATAATAACAATAATATCGAATGACAAAACGATAAATATAGAAAATAATTTATGTTCAAATAATTTGTAGATTATGTAACAGTATTTTTTTTAATTTTTTTTCTATTTTTAAACTTAATTAAGTAAAATATTTTACCTCTTTAGGACAAACAAAGTCTTCGATGTTATCGACAATGTGATTATTTCGAAACATACGATCGAAATTGGTGAAATCGATCGATGGAATGCAAGAATCAACACACAAAGTTACTTTTTTCCCCTCCGAGTATTCCATAACTGTATCCGGAACAAATACGATAATTTGTTCTTCCTGAGAACCAATAATTTCCGGATAACATTCTATGGTTACCGTATCGACTTGACCGGCTTCAATTTCAGCTTCGAATTTCGTTAAAACAAATGGACCAATATTCAACGTTTTATTAATATTTACTTCTCTGTTAATAATATAAAAATATTTTTAAGAAATTCTGTTTCCTGCTATATTTTCTTTATAAATCAAATATTTGTTTTTTTTTGTTGTTGTATATTACGTTTTATCAGTCTTCGTAGATTTTTTATCCCGTTTGCTGACAATTTCTGTGTCTCTTCCGGTATTTTTTCTCTTCGAAGTTTTTTCTTCCTTTTTCACGTTGCCAGTAAAAAAAATTGATTTCGGTGGAATTTGAATCGAATAACGGAACGCAAAGCCACCTGTATTTTCGATATCGAGATACATGATCTTCTTAGTGCAAATCGGGATTGTACCAAAATTTATTTCAGGATAAGGATTTAAATGAAATCTGTGCGAGAGAAAAGATTATAAATAAAATTGAATACGAAATTGTATCAATTTTCTTTGAATATTTTTTTTTAATTTTCTATAATGTTCCATGAAATTGGCTTTTAGAGGATTAAATTGATTTTATACCTGTTATAATAAGCTAGAAGGGAAACGGTTAATGGAAATTCTGCTACTATCATAGCTTGATTATTTGTGTCGATAATGTGACACTTCAATATGGGAGCTTCCTTCAAACGAATTTCATTTTTTGGTAAAAACGTCATTTGCACGGTAATTGTTTTTTGTGCTTGTATTGAACCGGAAGTTGGATCAATTTCTACATTTTTTTTCACGTTTGTAGGCCTTGCTACGTTCTCGTTCAGTTTAACATCTTCGTCGAATTTTATGCTGAAGATTATTTTAAACAATTTTTTTTTTGTAATATGATATTTCTTGTATATTTTGTATAAAAAAAATTGTATTTTACTTACACGTATTTAACTTCGTAATTTCCACGATTTTTAATAGTGAAACGTGCATTTACAGGATGACCGACTTTGACCACTTCCAAATCTATTGGATTAGCATAATTGATGTCAATCAGTACGTCATAAGTTTCAGCCGAAATTGTCATAATTTCGCTATGAACTGGATCTTCGTCGTCTTCGTTCAAGAATACTTGAAAATTGATTTCATTTTCTATCACGCCTACCTTTCAAGTTTTTATTTTCAGTAAAAATAATTCAGTATTAAATAAAAATTAATCGAGAATAATTTTAATATGAAACATAAAATGCTTACTGTACTAGCATTGTAGGAAAATTCGATTCTTTCTTCTTTTAAGGGTAATAAAAGACCTTTTTTTGGGGTAAACGTTATTTGTGCATCGAGAGGTTCTTTGCATTCAAAATGCCAAAAAATTGGTACGGTGGATTTATTTCGAATTGTATTAAAACGATTTTCCTTTCTGTAGAGAAGTATACGTCCAAAAGATAATTGTTTTTCATCCAACTCAACCTCCAATCTGATGCCATAACATCGAAGCTAAATTAACAAAACAAATTAAAGAAATAAGTATTTATGAGATATTTTTTGGTGTATTTTTTAACGTTTACAAAAATAATAATTTACTTCAATTATTTCAACGCGTGGATTATTTTTTATACAGATATATAATGTGTTATAATGAGGACCAAGTTTGGTAACACCAGCTGACACAATCAACTTTTTATCTTCGTTAGCCTAAATTGATAGATATTTTATTAAAAAATTAAATGAATTATTAAAATTATTATGAATTTAAGAATATAAAAATGTGTGTAAAAAGTACAGGAATAATTAATTTTTCTGGTTGAACGTTAAATCCATTTAAATTGTGATCCTTGAAATGTAACGATACTTCTGCTTCTATCGGTGTTAGATTTTTTAAAGTAAATTCCACTGCACGACGATGTGCTCTAACAAGAAAAATGATAAAAATTAAAGTACTTGAATGAATTAAAATCATAGTAAAAGAATGATCTGTAATAAACCTTTTATCTTTTTTATGTAAGACCAAAGATCCAAAATCAAAGATACTATTATCCAAGATAAATGAAGGATCGTTCGTTTCATCTATTTTTTTCTCCATTATCTTTAATAATAAATAAATTTAACTATAAACGAAGATTAATGAAGATGTACAGATATTGGGATAAAAGTTTCTAAGTGATTTTAAAAATTGATTACTTGACTCGATTTTTAACAGATCTGTCAGGTTTATTATTTTTTGAAAAATCAATTAAAATGAAAAATTACAAATTTAGACAATTTTTCATAATCTTAGAAAAAAAGAATTGACGTGGCTTTTACGCGTAATAGAGAAGTGAATCTGTCTATAATTATTATGTGAAAAATAATCAATTAATTCATATATATACATATATATAAATATATATTTTATTATTATAGAGATGAAAAAAATTTTCAACTCGATGTCATTACTGACTAGGAATATTGAAAAAAAATGTATTATAATTTAAACAATCCAAGATATTAGTAAAGTACAGAACTGTGTCCTATTTACTTTAATTGATTGTTAATTAATCGAAGGAAATGTCTATTGTTGTTTAAAAGCTCGGAATAAATAATCTACGTACCGTCTTCTTCGAAATCCACCGTTAGACTGACACGTTGTTATCTATAAAAGTTCTTTTATTGAATGTTGTGTATATGACTTTCCAAATAAGGAAACATGTATATAATGAAAATAATATTTGTAATAAAAAGAATTTCCTTATTTGGAAAGTAATATAAACAAGAGAATTTTAACTGACTTTCATAGAAGATAACGAGCCAGTCTAACCAGTGATTTTAAAGATGACGGTGCGTCAAATTTATATTCAGTGTTTTTAGACTATAATATACATTTTTTTTATTAATTAACAACAATTAAGGTAAATCGAACACAGTATTATACTCTATTAATATTTAGGATTGATTAAACTAAAATACATTTGTTTTAATGTTTTGATGATTTTGAGTTGGAAATTTTTATTTAATTAAAATATCAGATCGAAATTGTTTATTTGAAGTATATATAATTTTAAACAAATGTACTTTATATATTATTATTATTTTAATGGGTATATAATTTGATTCTTATATACATCCATACACACACTAACATTAGAAGCTACCATAGTCTCGTTCAACTGTCGAACAACTTACGGCTCTATCTTACTCTTTTTTTCCTTTGCCTTATGCCTTTTTTCTCTTCGTGTTGTTTCATAAAATTGTATCGTTATCGTCGTTAAAGAAGTTTCACTTCAAAAAATTGGTCTCGAAGAAAAATGATTAACTTTTAAAATCACTTGAAAACTTTTGGCGCACTTAATAAATTTTGATCAAATCTGTGTAATTAAGTGAAAAGTTTGTAATTTGTATCTTTACTTTTGGAAAAATGATGCGGGGGTTCATGTCAAGTTTAGGAATGGTCGCAAATCCGTTAACTTCGATACGATATGTGGTGTTAGGGTTATCAACTATCGAAAAAGTATAAATTTCTTGATGATCTCCCATTTCCAACGGACGAAATCTTAGCTTGAATTGTTTCTTTTCGTTAGATCGTAAAATTAATCGAGGCTTGAGTTTTTCTTCCTGATATAAATCGATATTGCTTGAATTTAAATTTAAAAGTCCACTTTCAGTCGACATTTTTGTTGCAATTTCTTCGATATTAATTTTCGAAATTTTTGTTTTACTTTTTTTTCGTTTTTTAGTTTGATTTTGGATTTGGATATTTGTTATTGTTGTTGTTGCTGCTTGAACAGGATCTTTTATCGCGTGACTAGAAAATGATTCGGTCGTTGGCTTTTCGTGCAAAGTCGCAATCGAGACCAACTCAAACGTATCTAATCAGGAAAAGAATAGTCCTTGTAATTTCCTTGATTATATACTTTCATTTTCACGCGGACAATAAATTGAATGGTTTAAGTAGTCGTTTAGTTGATTAAGTGAAAATTATTACCAGGTTTTTTTTCAACCACGCTTGATACTTCAAAACCTTTGTGAGCGAGAATAGAATAAATTGTTGGTTCTGAGTGTAACTTTTCGGTAACTCTTTTCTCTGTTAATAGAAAATATAATTAAATTGTATTTCTGTAGTATTTTATATAATAATTATGAATAATTTTTTAGATATACATTATTTTTACTTACGTAAAGCATTTTTAATCAAATTATTTTGTTTGATTTGATGAACTACTGCATTATTCATTTTATCGTTCCAAGGATCACTTGCATGAATATACCAAATGTGAAAATTATCTATTGTCTAGAAATTTTGGTTGTTGTTAATATTATGAAAATATTATTTAATTCTGTACAGGGTGAGTTAGAAAATGTTTAATGATTTAAAATATTGTTTAAATTATAAAACAAGCCTAACTATAAGTTTAATAAAAATTACGGAACAGAGTAACTGAATTTTAAAATCATTTAGAAACTTTTTCCTCATTAAAAAATTTAGCTCATTATTTGAATAAAATGTACCTCTCTAGATGCGTCCATTTTTTCTTTTAACTTGTTTGTTCTTGCCACGTTATTTTCTGTTTTCTGAACGTTAAATGAATATTTAAAACAAATTGGTGAATGTCCAGTTTTTTTATATATAAAAAAATACTCACTAGGTTTCCCTGAGTGGAATTCAACTTTGTAATTACATTTTCTATAGCTTCAAGACTGTTCTGATATTCTCTCATAACGTTAATAATTTCTAACATTTCTTTTCCTATGGGATTTAAAAGAAATATATAAACCCTATTTTAATTATGAAAATAAATAAATTCATTAATTATATAAGAATTACCTGGTTTGGGACTAGTACGAATTTTTTTACGAGCAGTTTCTTTCTTACTAGAAAGCGTTTTTGATTCTAATTCGTCTCGATTAGTCGAAACTGTAAGTTTGCTTTTGGTAACCGTTAGTTTTGTTTTTTTTTTCTTAAAATTTGATTCAATAGTACGCATATGTCTTTCCTCCTGAAAAATACAATTTACTATTGTTTAAATTCGATTTATAAAAGTGTTTGATTTATTGTTAATATCTTTTGAACAATTTTTTCAATAGATGATAAACGCGTTTACTTTTTTTCTTTTTAATTCGTCCAATTTCTGAGATAAATGAGCTCTTCTCAAGTATGCTTCTTGTCTTTTTATTGGCAAGACTGCTTGGAGATATATATTTTTATCTTCCTCCGAAATTTGATCGTAATCGGACAATGACATCTCATCGATTTCTTGAATTTTTTTCGCGGTATTCTCTGCTATTTTCTCAGCTTTATACAAGAAAAGAAACAGTTTTATGTTTTATGAATACTTTTTTTAGAGAATATGAAAGAGAACATACTTTTTAATCGTTTTAACTCGTCAATTTTCCAATTACAAATGTTTACAGAATTATAAAAAGTTACGAAAAGGAAAAATTCTATCTGCCCGATAATATCCAGTAAAATATTCAAAGTTTTAATCTCGTCAGGAATGAAAACATTTTGGAGAGTTTGCAAAACGAAACCTCTTTCGAAATCTTTTTCTGATAATCTAAAACAAAAATTACATTTGTAAAGAAAAATATGTGATTAATCCTTTCAATGCTAAAATAATAAAATAAATTCTGTACAATTTTTCAGTCGTAGAAGTTCATTTTAAAATTTATTTTTGAAATTATTTAAGATACGTGTTTTTAGTATTGAAAAAATTAAAACAAAGTTACCTTTCTTTTAATACTTCGGTTAATAAATCTGTATCGATGTTGAGAAAATGACTTTCTTGTTTTTTTTTACTACTTTTTTCACTTTCCCGAAAACTTATTTTGTCCTTAACAGATTCAGCGATCATATGTGCTGGAAGAATTAATTGCAGTAATTTAATAGCTTGAAGTTTGTATTCGTATTGACTGAAAATATCCATCGAAATCAATGTTTCCTCGGTTTGTAATAATTTGTTGTACGATTCTAAAGGTTCGGGCATATCAATCCAACGCAAATATCTTTCTTCGTCTCTTAAATCTTCATCACATTTTCCAGATTTCGAAGTTTCTACCGTTCTTGGTGTTCTACTTTTCCCACGTGACTTTTGCGTATATGTTGTTTCCGTTCTCGATGTTTCCAATTTTTCAACAAGAATTTTAATTCTTTTAAGCGAAAAGAAAAAAGAAAAATTGAATTTCATGTCATATAGTAAAGTGGTTTATTATATAAATGAACTTTCACCTCTGATTAAAGGAACCAAAAATTATGTTTAAATAATTTTTCAATTATTTGATATTATTTTTGTTCTTTAAATTTTTAAAATTATTTCAAAATAATTTTGATTTCTATTTAATACTGTGTTACATATATTAATTTTTATATTATTTCTAAATGATTGTTCTTTTATTATAATAATTTTCGTATTATTTTTTATAAATTAGCCTAAATCATTTATTCCCAATAATATTTACACTAACCTGTGTTCCGAAAATTTCATTGTATAATCCTGATAAATTTCATTGATAGCTTGTCTTAGTTTGACCGAGCATTCGCTCTTGCCAAAAGCTGCTATTTCTAAAATAGCTGTGTCTATAGAAAGCACGGGAATCCCTAATGCTCTGGCACTTCTGCATGCTGTTTCCTGGTAAGCTAGAAAATTATTATCACACAGTTATACATAAGTACCGTACAAATTTAACGTTCCTAAGTTTTCGTGTTACTTAGTTTATCCGCTAAATTTCTCAGACAGTCATTTATATTCGCATACACACACACAATTACACAAAACTATCAAACCAAATACATTTAGTATATACATGCATACCAGTGAAAGGTGCACCGTGAAATATTATGCAAACTTTCTTCAATGGTTTCACCGATTCTTCTAACTTCTCCGTCAACGTCGATTCAACTTCGAGTTGATCAAACAAACACTTCACTGGATCTTTCATAATTTCTTGAAAATTAGGATCTTCTTGCAAATGATTGATGTGATCTTAAAACCCCACAAACAATTAAATCAAATAAAATTCCATCAAATTACATATTATTTTTTTACCGAGAAGCAGTTGTTCAATTTGTGTAGGATCACTTGTAGCCAATAGGGATGATTTGTTGTAAAGATAAAGATCACTGATCGAATCATGATCCTTTTTTATATTTAACGAAGTAACAGAATTCGTTAGTGATTTTTTTCTTTTCAAATTAGATCCCTTTCGTTTCATTTTCAAATTCCGTACTATAGATTTAAGTTCTTCTTTCTTGTTCGTGATCGACATTTCTACTTCTTTATTTAATTCTTCTAATAAAAATTATTCATGAAAAAAATCATTGCTATACACACAAATATCAATACATTTGTAATTAACCTTCTTTTTCTTCTACGTCACTAATCTCATCAAATGTTTGTTCCTTGGTTATTTCATTGATTAACTCATTATAGAATTCAATTAATAAAGGTGGGATCCCTTCAGCAAGTTTCCTAGGTGGCAAGAGGATTTCCTCGACATTGTAATAACGAGTAAGTATCTTAGCAATGCGATCTTCGTGTAAGAATTGACTAAACATTAAACATTTAATCTTGTTATTAACATCTAACAAAAAATAATAATTAACAGAAAGTTAGATCACGAAAATAAATTCTAACTTATCGAGATGATGCCAAAAAAATTCAATAGGATATTCGGTATTATTTTCAATCGTAAATTCACGTTCCTGAACGTCCAAATAGGGTACAGTTGGTAAAAATTGGATAAAAGATTCACTTAGATTTAATTTACGTTCGATTCCATGACCCATTAAATTTATCTTTAGAAATTCCAATCCCATTTTAATGATGATATTTAATGTAGCATTTACGTAGCACTATTAGAATTATTAATTATTAATTATTAATATTAGATGGTGATCAAATTGGATCGATTAAGTGTACCAACCGGTTCACGTGGTTTGAAATAAACTTTGATGGTACTCGAATGACCTGGCGGATAAGTGTCATACTCTTGATGTACCGAGAACGGACAGTAGTTCTGCTTTTTCCGTTTCATTACTATTTCTATCTTCCAATCGCAATCGATTAAACTTCTGCAAACGAATAACTCGATTATTTCAAATCTTTGACTCTTTCTATTTCATATTTGTACTCGTTTTTTATGGTAAGATGCATCATCGAACATTCGCCAATAAAAACTTTGTTGAAGTCTAATTGTTTTTTATCTACGGTGATGTAAGGATAAGTTACGATTCCTTGGATAATTATTGGAATTCTACAACCATGGGTTACCTAAAAAAAAAAATATTGGATAATTTTAATAATATTTATAAAAGAGATAATATAAATTCAAAGATTGTAATGAGTATCTGAAATAAGGGTCTATGTTATATTCTGCAAATATCATAAGAAAGTCCGAAAAAATGACGATAAGTGAAATTATTGCTAATGCAACATAAACCCTTCTTTCATTACATAAAAATTTCAAACTATGGAAAACTATGGTATATCATGGTATACCCTAGAGCAGGGCTTCTTAAAGTATGGATTTCGGTTTCATACAGGGTTGCAGAAATTTGAACATAACTATAATATAAAATACCTGGACGCGCAAAGACCGAAAATTAATTCAAATCAGTTTGGCAATACTATAAGTACAGTATGCCTGTAAGTTTGTGAAAGTATTATAATTTATACCCAGGATCGCGAAAATATTTATTCGGATAAAGAAGTCGCTAAGTGGAAAAGTTTGAGAAGCCTTGTTCTAAAGTACACCACATAGAACTTTCATCAAACAAAAAATGAGTTTTGATAAAAAATTAACATAGACTTTTCTTTCAGACACTCATTCAATTGTTATTTTACCTCAAGATAAATAGTATGTTTTAATGTTGTTTTTCTTTCGGTATATTTTGCTAAAGTAGGACTACAGATGACATGTAACAGAATATTATGACCAACTGGTAATTTAACATTCTTTTTAAATTCTACTATAATGTCAGAATTACTCAGTGCAGCTTTATTTTCTAATTTTTTCATTTTCACTTCAGCAATCATTGGACCATAATTACTCACCATTGCAGAGTAATGTGCAGTAAGACCAATAACTACGTTTCCTAGGTCTTTCAAAAAGACAATGTTTAAGAAAAATTATTTCTATGGGTCTGTCTTTTAAAAAAATATTAGTAGGAATATCAGATGATAATACCAATGATATACGGCAAAGAAAACATTTGTGGGATTGCTGATTTTAAGCGGGCTGCATTGTGTTTAGATAAAACGTGAAGATTCTCTTCTATGAACTGACTTGCTAAAATTCTTTCCAACGCCATGTTTATGTCTACCATACTTGGAAGAGTTTCATTGATGGACACCATGATCCAATCGTTAATCAAATTATCTTCATTATTTTTAGGAGATACATTATCTTTCTAACATAAAGACAATAACTTTGAATAATTGCATACCTTTATACACACATACATATAAATTATAAAAATGAACGATACTTTACTTCCATAATAAATTCCGTGGAAAGTGACCTAAGTGCTTGATAGCCTAACTCCAAGGAACATTTATCAGTATGAATAATTTGGGGCAAATGGAGAAATACTTGTGGGTAAATACCCACTCCCGTAACAGACATAATAAGTGGCACCAAGTGAGCTATCTGGAAACAGTTAGGATGATGGCATTTAACATGAATCACTATTTAAAAAGACCTATTGATTTTACCTTTAATCGAAATTCAACATTGAATGGTCCAAGATAGATCGGTCGATAGTTCAACGTAATCTTTATTGAAGATTTCGGTTCGACTATACCTTTATGTGGTTCGATCGTTAATCGATTTGAATCGGTACCATCATTATTTTCCGACAAGGAAGTACTTATTATTGTGTAAGTAAAAGCAATCCTACAGTCGTTGGTTAAATTGAAATTCGAGTTGCAGGATTCACAGAATAGCTATTGGATAAAAAAAGAAATAGAAATAGAAAATGAAAAAAAAAAAAAAAAAAGAAAGAGAGAAAACCCACAAAAACGAAGTTCGAAGACTCGACCCAAAAAGTAAATCGATTTACCTGTTGACCCAAATCTATAACCCGTTTGTCTATTGAATAACGTACAGCATCAGCACTTGCGTTTACTTGGATCATCTCGGTTGGTCCACGAACGATCTTGCAAGCAGCGATAACTTCAACTCGAATGCGTTCGAACCCATGAAAGGCGAAGTGTATGTTTTGCGATGTATAGGGAAGTACGATGCCTTCGTTTTGTACTATGTCAAGTATCTGCAGGTTGAAATTAGTTTCACACTGTTTCAAATTGTCCGTTGTGTTTCGTCTCTACTATATCTATCTATGGATTTTCTAATACATATGTATATATATACATATATATATATATATATATACGTATCCGTATATATGTGTGTGAATATATGTGAGGAGAGGGATGTATGTGCAATACTTAGTTACCAAACTTTCTCATCGTGAAGCTCGTTATTACATATTGCCGTACGATGATGAGCTATGCTTAATTAAAAAAGTCATTAATCGTGGTCTTGAAGCAAACAAGCTGTCTAAGAGTGAATATTTAAAAGATTTTTTAAACTGAATAACTGATAATAATCAAAAAGAAAGAAATACCTCATTGATGGGCTCAATGAAACGAGGCTCGTAACCGATTACTTCTAAAACGTCGATATCAGACTCATCAATTGTAGGCATGTCGATTATACTCATTAATAATTTTTTTATCTCAAATAGAAGATCAGATTCTTCTTCTAATTCTGAAGATTGGTTTTGTATTTTCTCGAATTCGGAATTTGTATTTGTTCTATGAGTCTGTGGTTGGTTCGATAGAGGTGCTAATAAAATCAAATATTTTTGTATTACAACGGGATAAATGTAATATTGAAAAAAAGTATATTTCATAGCTTACAGTTCATGGGTGTTAATAGGGAGTCTGATGGGGCATCACCAGCGCCAATTGTTTGATTATTCAGACAATTGTCACTTTGCCAAAATGTTGATTTGAATTTTGAAATTGTTTCATTGATACTTGGAGGTTTTGCAGATTTCTAAAAATAATTTTCGTTGTTATTTGATAATAATTAATATTAGAATTATTCTAATACAATTAGTAGTAGTTATTCAGTTATTTTTTTTTTTTATATATGAAAATAACTAACCTCAGTATCCCGTACAATTTTAATTGTTTCTTCGAGCCAGACAAATTTGTATATAACTGGTATAGGACCATTGTTTGTTAACGTTAAAATATATTCTTCGCTGCAACCTATTTCACAAGACATCTTGACCTCGTGTGAACTCAATGTAAGATTTGGATAATTAACAGATCCTTCACATTTAATTTTATCCTAAAATAGATCGAACTGAATACACGGAACTTATTTCTTCGTTCGTGGATATTTATTATCTTTTCAGATTTAAGTCACCTTAATGGGATATTCGTCGTATTCGAAGGTAAGTGCGCTACAATAGTTCTTTGAATAAAAATTATCTGTTTCCATATCCGGTGCAAATTTAACATGAACTTTCATAGTACTTAGATCAGCCAATAAAATCTTCATGTTATCTATAAGATTTTCTACTTCGGTTATAATATAGAATGGGGGTTTGATCGTTATCTGAACGTTCAAATCCACACCTGATTTATTTGTCATCAAAATTTCGTCTAACAGTAATGAATTATTTAATTATTGTCAATTTGTCTTAAGTATAATAAAATTATTAGAAAAATGATAGAATTTTATAATTTACCTGTTTGACAAAATTTGTTTCCACATGGAGACATATCGATGCGCATGATTAATTCTTTTTTGCTAAATACGATATGTGGTTCTGTAAACGTGGCCTTGAAAGTACTCGTATTAATTAATTCTCGTTTATTTTGACCATGCACTTGACCAAATAAATACCAATCCTCGAGAATCGTTTCATTTCTAATTATATGACGTATACTTTATTATATAAAAATATAATAAATAAATATTTAATAATAAAATGTATTGTGTTAATAGCTTACTGATCCCAACAGATTTTGCAGTTAACGATGTTCGTTGCATTGGGTAATAAGTCACTTACGGTTGGGTGCATTTGAAATTTAGATCTGTAGGGATAATAAATTATGATAGTTAACACTGCTATGTAAATTGTTTAAATTTAATATTATACTAACGTAGTCGATGATGTAAATTGTCCTTTTTGCACACGTAAGTCTGGTGTATTCGACCAGATCAACTGATATTGTCTTGTGCCAAGATTCTTCATAGTGATTGGTATAATCACTTTCTGGTGACTTTAATTATTTAAGAATACAAATATATTATGGAAATTGTGTTTATTATTTTATGAATTATTTTTTATAATTTATTATATTTTAGCTAATACTAAAATTATTATATTATATTATACGATACTATATCCATATCATACTATACATTTGTTATTTAAATTAAATTAAATGAAATACCTAAGTAGTAGTCCCATGTCGAACGTAGGAAACACATTTGGCTGAAAAACAACACTGCAACCGACTCCAATCGCTCTCAGATTGACTGAAATCGTTCTGCTGTTGTGTACCATCATTAAAATGTTATCCTCGTATTTACCAGTATCACGCAGATAAATTCTCACGTCCAATTCTATCGATTCGTTCGCTTCGAGTACGCCAGACACAGGATTCACCGACCAAGGCGAATCTTTTCTACTCTTCGTTAGAATAAAAAAATAAAAAACAAATATTTTTTATCTTGAAAAATATTAATTCGAAACTTCGTACTTACGAGAGCAATTTGAAATTGGGCTGGAATAGGTGCATCACTGATAACTCGCAACTTCATAGACCTTTCCTCGAGTACTTGAACATCAGCAAAGTCCATTTGAGTTGGTTGCAAAGATACTACAGGTCCCTGACCAGTACAGGATATCGTACAAGCAATTACCGGAGAATTTTGACCCATCGTTAACATGCTGAATAAAAATATTTCAATTAATTGTTATATTTTATAATTAAATTTTTGATACAAAATAAGACCATTTAAGTAAGATAAAAATTGAATCGTACTTTATCGTTGTACTCTGTTTACCAAGAGATCTTGTAATAAGAGTGACGACGATAGTTTTTGATTGACGTGCTTTGATAAAACCTTGATAGACTGACATGGAATAATAGATCGAAGTGTTGTTGTCAGAAACCTGAAAGCGCATTTAGCCTGTTAGCCTGTTAGAATTTCTGCAGAAATTCTCTTGTCATTTGATATGTAAAAATAGTATCAAATATATTTGCCCACTTACTGATTGTGGGACAAGATAAAAATAACCATCCACATCGGAATTGTTTTCTATATCGAAAGTCCTCGTGTAAGGAAAGTTTATGAAACAGAACCTAATCAATATTTCTGAAGGTTTAATCGAGAGAGATGCTGTACTACCACAAAATGATATTGGTAACATTAATGGATCCGATTCTGAATTCCACATGTCGACTCGAACGAACGAACGTTCGAATCGAATGATATTTGCATTGTAGATTATCTGGAAAAGATATTGAAGATTTTGTTACTTGCAATAACACACATTTTGGGATTTTTTATTATTAAACTTTTATTCGATTTTTCAGTTTACCCGAATTTTCGTGAAACTCCGTTCAGGAACTACACCTTTTTCAGGTTGAACTACAAATTCCCGTGGGTTAGATGGAAAACTCAATTTGGTATCAGAGTTGACGAAATCTTCGTAAGTTAAGGGTGCCTCGACGCCATCGTTCAATACTATTATACTGTAAGTTACAGGAACGGAGGATAGATTATGAAGACATACTTCTTGTTTGCTAGTAAATCCTAAACAAAATGAATTTATCAGATAATTTAAATTAATTATAAACTGTCAGATTGAGAAAATAGGAACTGATCAATGTATCTTATATTAAACTAACCTAAAGGAGTCGTACCAAAATCCAGACTTTTTTTATCAAAATGTAAGGTAGGACATATAACGCAACCTTTGATGTGCAACGAAATTATTTCAAGACTTTCCTTAACAATGAAATCAACGCGTTCCAAAAATTCACCTTTCCGGTTAGAGGAAAATGATAAATTGAACGATTTATATTCTCCCGGTTTAATAATAAGCGAGGGTGGATTGATATTAATAATTCCACCAAAATCAGTTTGTTTTGATTTATATATCAAAGTACCATCTATGTATCCTTTATTAGCAGCAACTATCTAAAGGATGAAAATCGTAATTTTTAAAGAATCATTAGAATTCGAAGTCCGAATAATAAGGTTTAACAAAGATGACCCAGATCGATCTTTCTACCTCGTAATAATGTATGGAGTACATGTATATTTTATCTACATCGATCGTGATGACGTTCAAACGGAAAACTGGTCCTTTTCCTATTCCACATAAGCTGTCGTTATAAATACATATAAAAATAAAATTAATGAAAATAGAGTCACACGCGATGAAAATGATATGAATGTGCGTTATTTTATTATACGGATTTTGATTTCCTTACTTCAAAGGTATTCTGTCTTCTCGACCGGATACTTCCAAATAAGCCATGCTACAAATCTCACCAACTTCCAAAGCTCGAAAGAGTATCGTCACGTCTGATGATGAATGCGGCCATATTTCACCCTCCTATACAATACGTTTTAACTTTTCATTCATGGATTATAAAATTTCAAGTATAGAAATTTTTGATTTATATTATATGTGTGTTAATACTTATATTTTACCATAGGAGTAATCATAAAACATAAGTGATTGTATTGGAAATTTTCGTTCATCAATGACACTATTTCATCCCCGTAAATTCTTTGACAGACGAGTTCATGAATGTCAGGCATACAGATGTTGTAATATTCCAGACTGACACTACGCACTACCTCCATTTTGTGTATTAGTTCAAATAATTTTTTATATCTGCAATAGTACAAAAAGTAACAAGAAAATAACAGTGAAATATAAAGAATAAAAAAGAAACAAGAAATTTATTGAATTTTCTTTTTACTCTTCTCTTCTTGCATTGTCTTTTTCGCTACTTTCGTAACACATCCATTGATATTTGACAATGTAATCGCTTCTATTGTGAATAGTAAGAATTTTACTTCTGGACATTCCTAAATAAGTATCCTCCATTTTGACGCTACCTCTGTCAATTCGAATAATGCAATTAACTGCTGAACTTCGTAATTCTGTCCGAAGTATCTCACCTGTTGAAACATTTGTCATAAATGTGTTATTAAATAAAAAGAAAAAAAATAGATATACACAAAATTTGATAGATTTACCAGTCTCATATTTGAGGAACAAATTAGCTTCAAATTCACCTGCAATATCGGATAAAAAATAAATGTTAAACTGAATTGATTCTTCCTCGTCGATTAAACCGCTTGATGGTTCGATATGAAAACGTGGACTAGTAAAAGAAAAAATAAATTATTAAATCCTTTCATCATTGTGTTATTTTGATGTCATCCTTGTTATTTGTTTATTTTAATATTTGTTATAATTTATTATTACCTGTCAGTGAAGAAAGTAAAAATAGCCGAAGTTGACCCAATATTGCGTATGAAAATAGTTTTTGAAGAAGAAATCTTTACAGCCGTGTTTGGTACTTCGATGCAATCAGGAATATCCAGAATTGCTCTGGGGCCAATTGCTGCAATATTAGAACACTTAAAATTATATTAAACAAATTAGATCAAATGAAAATAATTTGTTTGACTTTTACCAATTATCGGAACGGTAATAACATCATCTTCAGTAACAAACTTAGTTTCATATTTATAATCTCGTTTTTCTTCCGGTGTAAATTTGATGTTGTAAACTTGTGCTAATCCTGGAGCTACTGTTACGTTATAAGAGGATCCACGAAATTCGATGTCGAAGAAAGGATCTAATTTGCAGCATGATTTCAAACATCTCGAAACCTTTAAAAAATACAAATAATTTAATTATTTACCTTTACAAATTATTTTCATTGATTTTATACCTGGCTGGAATTACGAATGGTGAGGGTAGCGTTGTAAACGTTGCCTGGAAGAAATTGTTGGAATACAATAATAGCAGGTATAGTTTTGAAAGGATTATTTTCTGAATGATTGAGAATAGTTCGAAGATTTTCATTGATTCCTGGTTTAATTAAGTAAGCCATTCTTTCTTCCGTTGTTAATGATATTTGTTTGATAAATTCTGATGGAGGCATACTGTTCTGTATATTAAATAAAAAATTTAAGTATTATTTATTATATTATTATTTTTTATCTACGCGAAAAAATATTTTTCTAACCTTGTCTTCATCTTTCTTATTTCTTGGTTTCTCTAGCATAGCTGTGAATATTTTTAATACGTCGAACGAATATGGTTTCCAGGCTTCTAACTTTTTTTCCATTTCCTCCATTATGAATAATCAATTTAAATTGAAAATTAGATTCGGTTTGTGTTTTATTAATAAGGATAATAATTATATTGGTAATATTTTGAGATATTGATTGTCAATATGGCTGATACTTCTTTTGTTTTGTACTAATACATGTATGCATGTATTGATAAAAGAAATGTAGAAATCGATTATAAAAAGATTGTGTGTTCAAAAGATTTTTATTTATTACATTGAGATGGTATGCAAACATAAACTGGACAACAGGGAGATTTTGATGGTCTGAAACATGGTGGTACTGGATTACACGTTGGTGTAGGACAACAATTTGTAGGAAAACATGCTGTAGGTTCACATGGAATCGTACAATCTCTTAAACAACCAGAAGGTCTGAAATAATTCGATGAATGATTATAATTTTATTTATCATTTATTCCAATTCACAATTCATGTATCCAATTTTTAAATAAATTTGTAACTAACTGGCATATAGGTGGGGATGAGATTCCGGGACAAAAAGATGATAGACAATTAGGTGGACTTGTACAAAATGGTGGTGGACTACACGGTGATGGACAAAATGAAAGTGACGAGGTTGGTAGACAATCAGGGATTGGTGGAAAACAACAAATTCTTTTTGGATTTGGTTTAAGTTTGATCTCAGCACGAGGAGGTTCCATTGAACATACAGGAACACAATTAGGTAAACATCGAGTTGGTGGACTACATGGCATTTGAGATATGCAACAAGGATCACAGCTAACCCCATTGCAACACATTCCTGGACATGGTCCTCTTGGACATCCCAATGGTGGACACGAAACGTTGCATATTTCTGGTTCAGGCTTTCTGTTCATTGCATTTTAGTAGAAATGATATTATTGATGATTTCGAGGATTCTATTTTAAGTATCTTGTGTCACTTACAGACAATCTATTTGATTTATGATAGACAGCATTTCGTCCATGTAATTACGAGTTTTTCCACAAGCCATTTTAATTTATATTGATGACGAATTATTAACAGGAATTTAGATTATTAATTGAATGATGTATTGTCTTTTTTTATTATTTATCAATTTGGATTTGACACATTTCTTAGACAAATTGCATTTGTTTTTTTTTATCGATGTCATTTTTTTTGTTTATATAAATGTTATACAGATTTGTCATAACCATAATGAATTTATTATTCGTTGATGTTAACGACAAGATTTTGTTCTATCCATTTCAGATTGTGTCTTTTAGATTTCTTTTATACTAAGAATAAGAAGACACGTTTAAAGATCATGTGAAATGTATGAAAAGATGAATGCTTGTTGAAAAATCAACCCCTACTCACTAACACATTTTAAGGGTTCGTAAATGCGAGTTACATCTTTATAGAAGATACCAACAATGATTCACACAAGATGAGTGTTTTATCGGGAAGCAGCTATTTGTTGATGAGCATGAAATATAGCAGGAGAATAGATAACTTGGTGAGATACAATAGGAACAATCGTTACCACTCTGATGAGCTAGCAGCTTTACGAGTGTGCAAGTAATCGGAAAGAGTAAAAAAATATCTTTCCAAATAAAAATCATTAGTTATTTGCGTAATTAATTTAATTATTAGGAAAAGTTTACTTTGGTGTATTAAAATTAATATTGTCGCTTGTGGCTTTGTTATTAATATTTATGATTATTTAATTATATACACATTTGTTTAAAAATAAAACAATTCGTAATATATTTCAATTATAAAAGCATTTTAATTTCATGTATAATATTATTGCAGGTAAATCGAAAATTTGAAATTGTCCAATGATGTTATGAATTAATTAATTAAATTCAAATCAATAAATATTGCAGTGATTTGTATCGAGCTATCGACAGTACTATTTTTTTTTCAAATTTGTTACTCAATTTATTCTTTCGTTAGCCATATAGTAGTCGTATTATGTGACGATACTTACTTACGAGCAAATTTATTGAAATTATACTCAAAGCATACCGTAACAAAAGGATTTAGTTTATAGGGATCAATTTTTAAGAATCGTGTATATATATATTTACAACATCGTTAAAAAAAAAAAGTATAAGATGAATAAAAAATATATTTTATATAAATATAAATATGCATATATAAAAATATAAATCTGAAATACAAAATAAAAAAAAAGTTATCGTTTTCATTCAGTGATATATTATGCTTGGTTGTACATATTTATTAGCAGTCGGAAGGTTTTCAGGTATTATTGGTTGATTTGGTATATATTCCGATTTTCTGGCAAGGTACGTTACACCCCCAATAGTTTTGGCTTCCCGTATATCCGTCGAATTATAGTTTCCATTCAATCTTTGGGTTAGGCCAAATGGTGTATAAGGTGCTATTTTGTTCTGGATTGGTCCGTTCTCCTTGGAATACGATAAATCTGCAGTGTCGCCTCCAGGACTATCTAGATACGCGACATTTGCTGTATTTGGTTTATGTAACATAGGTACATCACCCTGTCCGTTGTTCTTAATAAGATTTTGTTTATTCTGATAGAAATGTTGCATCTGTTGATAATAATCCGGATGTACTGAACTGTCAAACTGATAGGACATTGGTTTATTCAATACCGATAATGAATTTTTATCATTGTACGGAATTAATTTCTGATAATTTTGGTGATGTTGGTGATGATTATTAAACTGTTGATCTGGAGTAAGCATCTGATATTGTACTGTTGGTACTACAGTTCCATCTTCTCTTTCAGTCATCAAACTGTAACGATTTCGTGGATTGTTCTGTTTCTGTTTAGGATATTCATTCCAAGTCGTTCTTATTTCAGATCTCTTTAAATGTGTTAAAGGTTGAGGAAGTGGATTATTAGGATTCCTACTATTTTCTAGACCATTTGCTGAGACACCTTTCCGTGCTATCGAATTAGAATTATCGAAGCCTGGTGGTTTTGATATTAAATCCGGCGTAACTTCGTTCGGATCTTGTATACCGTTCAATTTAATTTTCGGTTTCTTTCGATTAAGATTCGCGAGATATTCAAGGCCCACATGACTTTCTGGATTATTTAAGATTTCCAGAGCTTTTTGAATCGTCTCTGGATCTTGCAAGCCGTTGTTACGTTTTTGAGGACGGATTACTTCCTTGTATAATCTTAGTTTCAATAAACTCGATGGTTCCACATTCCTTATATTCAAATCGTTCAGACTAATGGCTTTCTTGGAAAGACGGGAATTTTTTTCGTTTTGTGACTGATCATGTTGCCACGTAACTTGTTGCGGTGTTTGGTAATACTGCTGTTGATATGGTTGTTGCATTTGTTGAGGATACTGCCAATAAGAATATTGCGATTGCATAGGATTGTTAACAAAATGTTGAGAATATTGTTGAGGTGGAGCCGACATTGATTTGAATAAATGAGTTTGGGATGAATTATACGAGCCCTGTGGTATTCCTGTTCCTATTGTTGGAAATCCCATTCGTTGCTGCCAATTAACATTTTGTTGTTGCCATAATTGATGTACTTTTTGTTGAGATTGATCATGGGTCGATTGCACCATATCTTGATTATTTCTATTTTGTTGTATTTTACTGTAATCATCTGGATAATTTTCGTTAACTTGCTGTTGCGATGGAATTACATTTTCTTCTTGAACTTTGGTATTTAATTTTTCCAAATCACTGTAAGGAATATGTGGTGGAGTTATATGAGCCATCCATTCAGGTTTCTCATCCATTTGTATCTTCTTTCGTGTTTCCTGCTTTTTCGTATCAAGAGTTTCACTTTCTTGATGGAATTGTTCAAGATATTCAAGTTGTCTCCGTTGTTCTCTTAACAAATGATCAAACTGTCTTCGCATTAATTCATCGGATATTCTTTGCTGTTTCATAGTTGCAACTAAAAGTTCTTGATCTCGAATCATTTTAGGTGTGAATTTCAAATTTCTTTTCTCAAGATTTGTAGGCACTTCGGTTGTGATTATTTGTTGAGGAGCATCATTTTGAGGTATCATATTTTGTTGATAATAATTTACAAATTGTTGTCCTGGAATCGGTGGTCGATATAATTGAGGTACTTGACCATGATGATGATTGTACGTAACGTTTTGTGATTTATTATTGTCAACTAGGTTAATCGTATATGGTTTGATTTGAAAATTTATATTTGGATTATCGATTGATATTTGATTGCTCGGTGTTATTTTATTCTGTCGATTAATTAATTGTTGTGTTTGTTGCATCGATACTATAGCGTTCTGAGTATTTCTTGTTTGATTAATATTTGCATCTTGAGGCGAGGTCATTCCATAAGAACCTCTCATTTTTTCAGGCATAGGTTGAGTAAAATAATTATAATAAGTACCTTGATTAACATTAGGCAGATGTTGTATTTGCTGTTGTCCAGGCATCATTTGAAATTGTTGATTAATTGCACGTTGCTGCATCTGTTGCTGATTTGTTACATTATTTTGAAGTTGCTGATAAATTTGCTGAGGATTTTCACGCATTACGATTGGGTTAGAATTAGTTTGAGTTGAATTAAAATTGTTCGAAGGTGGTATAGATATTGAATGATCGTTTGAATACATTGCTGGATGAGATCGTGTTTGTAACTGTTGTTGTAGTTGTTGTTGTTGTTGTCTTTCTTGCATCACGGCTTGCCTATGCAACATTAAGTTTCGTCCACCAACAGGTTGTTTTTCTAAATCAACAACTTTAGGTAGTTCATCTTTAACCCAATTATTTTCTTTTTGCACATTCGTCATTTCGTTAGAATTTCTAAAAGATTGCTGTGGATGTACCAGCGTAATTGGTGTAGACGATTGAGCTACAGGTGTTTGACCATTGTGAACATAAGCCAATGTGGTAGATGCAGTCATAGGATTTACGTACGATTGATGTCCATGTGGTACATTCGGCCGATGTCTATCTGGACCGTGTACTCGATAAGTCACCGCACCGTCTGATTGTGGAATTGATTGATGTATCGTGCAAATTTGTTGTTGGCACGTATTTTCCGCAGTCTAAAGGATTAATCGAAACGAATCGGTTTATTACTCTGTTTAATCATATTTAAAAAAATATATATTTTGTGCTCACCTGTGACTGATGTTGATGCCCATTATTCATCCTATGATCACCATGCTCGTGATTAGGAACCGAGGAAGTTGGCACGAATAATGCATCCGAACGTTCAGAATTTTGATTAGCCATAATCATTATCGGTTTATTATCAAACAATGTTGGATTGTCTAATTTACGAATTCTTTCAGCTGGAAAACTTTTTAATCGCGGTGACGAACTTGAACGTAATTCTTTAGATTTGTCCTGAGAATTGAATGCTGTTTTTGGGGGTGCCGTACCATTGTCACCAGTCGCGAGTATTGTTTTTGATAATTTTGTCTGCAATAGAGGAAAATACAAATCTGAATAGATCTTTGCAATTGATAGATTTCTTTTTGAGTTATAAATGTGTACCATTGTGCCTTGATTTAGGTTTGCCTCAGGCAATGGTGATTTTCCTGATCGAGAACGTCTCCTTTGAGAAATGGCAGAGACTCGTGTTTGAATACTGGGTATGCTCGGTCGTCGAGTAGCGTCTTTGGCAGCAGTATTCCTTTCCACGGAAACTTTCCTAGAAATTAATCATAAAATAGGGGTTATGTAAAGACGTTTATGTAATGCTTCCAAAGAAAAATTGTAGAAGCCAAAAGATTTTCTTGAAAGAAAAGAAAAAAGAAAAAAGAGAATATATTTCTTACCTTTTGCTCATGATATAAATTTTTCTATTCCTACCTTGTCAATTTGGTATTATAAATAATTCTCGTTAAATCATAGTATTAAAATAGAAATTAGATTGAGTATTTCAGTACAGATTTAGTATCACTACAGCGAAAGGCATTGCAACAAATGAAAATAAGCTACAAGATGACAGCATAAATTGGGTTGTCATGGACACCTGTTTTAGAACAATCGTATAGATTGCTTAAAAAATAAGTGATAAACAAAATCGCCAATTTTAGTCAATTTATTAACATGTTTAAGTATTATTCACTTTTTCTTGGTCCTTCAAAACTTTGTATTTTTTTTAAATAATCAGATGAAATATTTAGATTCATCAAATAATTCGTTAAAAACTGAAATACATGTATGTATATGTTACCAAAACTTTTTAAAGAAATTGCAATAATCCACTATTTTCAGCATTGCATTCTCTGACATTTCTTGAACTTTACATGCTAAATTTATAACTCGATATGGTATTCTACGCGTAGGCAAAAGAGTGTAATTTAGTTTAATATAAGTTTCATTAAAATCTATTCACTTTTAGTATAAAAAATATTTACCAAAACTTTTCAAAGAAAAAGTTTTTTTTTTTTAAATATTTTTTGAAAGGATTTGCGGTTATGACGTTAACATATATATAAAGTAAATATTTTAAGTATGTTATGTGTATGTACAGACTCTTTTAATAATTTTTGTTTTCCAGTACAAGTATAAATGTGTAAGAAAAAATAATCAATAATCTAATAATACAATAAAGTGACTGATATCAAATATTTAAGAAGTTTCACTTCAGTCGCGTATGGGTTCCACGTGTTTTTATTTTTTGTTATTCTATATATTATAATAACTTATTAATATTATGTCGGAATAAAAGATAAATTTTTATTTTATCTACACGTCTCTCTCTCTCTCTCTCTCTCTCTCTCTCTCTCTCTCTCTCTCTCTCTCTCTCATATAGTTTTCGTTTTCTTAGATGATAATTATTCGAGAAAAGCTGATACACTTATAGAATATTTTTAATTTCAATACACAAACTTAATAATAATGTTAATATTTAAAATGAATTATTTTGCAAAATAATTTATGAACTATTTTTTACAGTACTTCGTAATTTGTTGTTGAATCTTGTATCCTCAATTTATTTGTCATTATATTAATGTTAGCCATCTTCGAGACGTTTTTAATTAGGATATTGGTTCACACATATTGGAAGATTTAATTGAAGAATATTATTCCATCGTTTTCAATAAATTTGTTATCATATTATTATTATTCGTTAGTATAATTAAATTCGTTTTTTATTATGGTCGGCAAATATTTGAGGTTGTCAAACTTTGATAAATCTTTTATGTAACATACAAAAATTAATATGATTGCGATCAACTTTTCGACTTCATTAATCCAATTAAAATGACAAAATTGTTTGCTCTAAATCGGTTGAATTCTTGTTAAGGTGGACAAGGTACTGCCAAAAATAAATTCAAATTATTATTTCATAATATTATAGCCTTCGTTTATTTCTATTTAAATTTAAAACGTGATACTAACGAATAAGTGGTCTACAAGGTGAGCAAACTGGTGGTGTAGGAGGTGGACAGGGCATACAAGGTACGTATTTTGGTGTGCAAACATAAGCGCAAGTTGGAGGTGGTGGAGGACAAGGTAAGCAAGGGGGAGGACATGGTGAGCAAAGGGGAGGACATGGAGAGCAAGGGGGAGGACATGGAGAACAAGGGAGAGGACATGGTGAGCAAGGGGGAGGACATGTTACCACCACCTTTGGAGGACAAGGCATTGGACAACATGGTGGACAGGGTGGACAAGGTCGTAAATACACCTAATATATCATAATTTTATAAGATTAATTCAGTATCTAATTGGTAGAACTACATTTTATTACCAATAGATTGTTGAATTAAATTTTGTTCAACAAGATATACTTGATTTATTATTTGTAGTACGTAAATAACAAGTATACTTCTGAGCTAAATTTTGTTTAACAAATTCTATTTGATTCATCCAAATTGTAGTTTCTACATGATGTACCAAGAATAATTTTAAATATTTTATGATTAAAATATGTATTTTTTTTTTCTTATCGTTAAGATGGAACTTTATTTTCTCATCTAGTTCAGTTCAGCTGGATTTTAATTAAGAACATCGAATCGTGATACGAACTACTGTCTTGGTTGGTCTCGGTGGGCAACGAGGCGGACAAGGTGGCCTACATTGTATTAGAGGCGTATAAGGTACGCAAGGTAGGCAAGGATAACAAGCTGGTGGACAAGGTGGCATGCAAGAAGGTACTGAGCAAGGTATTGTATAGCATCTTGGTGGTGTGCAAATTGTAGTGCTACATGGACTGGGAGAACACATATTTAAATTTCTTTCATTTCTATCAAATCCTAATTAACCTTCTAGTAGTTTCATCGAACGAATCGATATCTTCTTATGCTATAATAAAATCAAATATAAAATTAAATATTTCTATATGAAATGTTATTGGATTTAATATATCAAGTTGATAAGAATTTTATCTCATAGATAGTACTATTACGTTTTATTGATCGTATTCTCGTGAATTTTTGATAAATGTGAATTTAAAATGATTGAAATCTAGAATTTGTATGTTTATTTTTACCTGTTAATTTTATTTTTGATATGAATTATAGTTAAGTCATCAATATCGCAGGTCCGTTCATCTGATGTAAACGATGGTATACGTTCTTCGAGAAAATCGAAGATTACTTGAAATTTTGTAGTAGGTGAGTTGGGAAATAGGAAAACTTTGAGATTTATGTTTATTTTTCTGTTTCCATGACTACGTTAAGTCACTTGTTATTTGCTAGGAACAGTGACTCGATATCGTTGCATGTTCGAAAAGAAATGTGAATGACAATAATCTAAGTATATATGGTTGTTGAAATTGTTCACTTTATTTAAATATATGAAAAGATGAGAAAATAGAAAGAGAATGTATGCATTTCGCGTGATATTATATTATCAATGAGGAAGAAAATCTGTTGATGGAAATTTCATTTATAAACTTAGACATGACTAATCAAAGAACGCAAAATCCTGGTCCGTTCGGTGGTTGAGCTGGTACACCTCGCCTGTTCATACGACAAGCGTGTTCTTCCAGGCGTCTCGAAGCATCATTCAAACTTTCCGCTTGCTCGCTCCACAAACGTTCAGCTGCGGCACATGCTCGTGGCCAAATTCTTGGATGAACGTTGTTCCTGAATAATAAAGAAAAGAAAACATAATAAAAACACACCAATTCGTAATTAGCAGAAATTAATAAAAATATCTGAAAATTGGATTATTAATAATCAATTACAAACTTTTGACTAACAATATCCGTATAGAAATATTAACAAAATATTTTTTTTATGCACAGGAATTGAAAAATTATAAAAATATTTGTTGACAGATTTACTGCGTGGTCGTATTATGAGCTCATATTTTTTTTTTAGCAATTCTGTAACTGGAGATTCATTTTCTTCCTAATTTTAAACGCACAATATTTTTTATTTTATATTTCTTTTAAACAGAAACATATATATATATATATATATATATATATATATATATAAAATATATTCTAGTTGATAAACCAGTATTGATTTTTTCTTGTCTTTTGGAAGACTCTTTAAAAAAAAAGAAAAACAATATTGTAATTACTTGTCAACGAATTCGCCCCACATGCAAGCTTCTCCTCCCAACATGAGATCTCTCACGTTGACTTGGGACGGTGCCGGAAATCCGAGAGGATCGCACGTGTAATACTTTTTCCAATCGCCTCCATTGCTTATGTGATCGAGATACCAACAAGCGGATAACAAAACCGGATGTCCGGCTTTTGTTGCTTTTTCTAGTTCGTTTTGCCAACGTCCGGTCCACACGTGTACTACAGTGTTATCAGGCAGATTTACGCCATTGTCGAAAACCTGTAATAACAAACATTTTCCGATATATTCTGGGAAATGGAAAATTTTCACGGAAATAGATTAATATAGATATAAAATAAAGTTTACCTCTTGCCATACGATCGATTTGGCATCCAACTTATTAGTGATCTCTAAAAGTCTGGCAATGTATTCCCCTTCGAGTAACGGGAAATTTTTCGACATATTGTTTGCTACCATGTACGCTTTGATTTCGGGATTGCTAGCCCAACATTCAAATGGTACTTCGTCGCCTCCGAGATGAACGTATTGATCTGGAAAAACTTGAACTATCTCGGAAAAAAGATTTCTCATGAATTCGTAAACCTCAAATTTTATTGGATTTATCGGGCCAAGTTTACCATTTGGGTTACCGGTAGAATCTAAAATAAAATATAATTATATATTTTAAGATATTTTTCTTCGTAAACACTAATATTATTCTAACTAACCGTAACACTTGGTCAGAAATTCGGGATAAGCTAAACCCCAAGCTGCTACGTGTCCAGGTGTATCAAATTCTGGCATAACACGAATACCACGTAATCTCGCATAATCAACGATTCTTTGAATATCATTGGGTGTATAAACCATAGAAGAGTGATAGGCACCCTTTGCTGATAAATCTGGGTACCTAGAACTTTGATAAGGGAAACTATTGTCGTCTACTATGTGCCAGTGAAGAACGTTTAGTTTGTTGTAAGACATGGCATCCAGGGTTAGAAAGATGTCGGATAGTGGTAGATAATGACGAGAAGTATCCATTAGTAGACCTCGGTGTCGTAATTTTGGAGTATCCACGATTGTTTGGCATTGTAGTTTTAACTAAACAATGTGTAACCATATTTTATATTCTATTAATTTAATTATAATTTTTTAAATGTTTATGCGTAATACAGTTTTTTTTTATTCTTGGATAGTAGAATTTGTAATAAGTTGATAGACAGTTTGAATATTTGATTCTAAATCATTAATTATGTTTTTGTTTATTGGTTTAGTATTTTTTAAATCTTTTTGGTCAGTATATGTTAATATTTTTTTTAGTATAAATGACTATATGTTATTATTTATAATAAGTACTCGATACAAAGTATATATTAAATAATATTTGTTTATAAATATACTAAAACCACTTATATTTCATACTAATATTTTATTTTAAATATTAATTCAATAAATAGCAGTCTCCACACTTACATTTTAATAATATTATACCATACTAATGTAAGATTTTTTCTTTAAATACTGATCCATTAAAAAATTATCCGATTAGTTAAATCAAATAAAAATTAACTTACGATAGGACCGTCTCCAGATGGAACGAGTATTTGTGAGAAAGTTTCAAGACCTCTAAGTACTCCCCAAACGGAATCAGCTGATAGACTGGCACTGACTGACGTTCCATTTATTTCGAGAATGTCTGCAAAAGTCAGAGTTGGTTCCTCTTATCGTCGATCGATTGGAAAAGAAAGAAAAGACAAGATGAAGAAGAAAAAGAAGAAGGGAAGAAGAGTAGGTACGTGTAATCGTTTTATCTTTCGTTTCTAATCGCAATGACCTCGGACGGTTTCGCGAACGAAGAAGAAGAATAAGAAGAAGTAGAAGAAGAAGAATAATAATAAGAAGAAGAAGAAGAGGAATAAGAGATAAGAAACGCAAAGAGACTGATCAATTTCATCTTATTGCTCGTCTCGCTTATTTCGATCTATCTGTCTGTTCCACTGGCTCGATTACCAACTCGTTCATTATCGCGAATTAGAAAAGTTGTGACGTGCGTACAGATGTTCATTACATAGGAATGTAATCGAACTATACTTCTTCCTTCTTTAATATTTAATACAATCAAAAATGAACAAAGCGAGAATGAATTAATCCTCTGTTATTAATCATGTAACTTCAAAGTCACGCATTCAAGTATTTTTTTAATTTTATTTATTTTATTTCTCTAAAAATGATCTGTTAATTTATAAAAATATAATGATTTTTATGTTGATATATATATATATATATAGCATGTTATACATTTTTATCGAGAAAATATAATATTATTATTTTTTTTAAATTGTTCTAACACAGAAGTTACGTGATTTTAAATGTGAAAAATTTAGTAGTTTTTATTTAGTGTCAAGATACACTTCTTCTTTTTTAAATAGGAACCTAATAAATTTTATGATTATACCGAACCCATAGGAAATATTACATCATAAAAGATTAAAAATAAATTTTTTTCAAGATTTACTCGAACAAATCTTTAATCGTTAGCAATGATTGGAAGAAGATTAATCTTTAGTCACGTATTTTAATTGCACATGCTTTGCTGATTCTCAGTAATTATTATAAAAATGATTAGTCTCTTATTACTCATTCAATACTACAAGTTCTTTCATTTGAAATAAATAAATATTTGCGTAATCACTTTATCATTACGATGCTTTTTTTTATTCGATTTTTATGATTAATATGTTCGAACAGTTGGAATCCCCGAGTTCGTAGAATATACATGCCAAAAAAAAGAAAGAAAGAAAGAAATTATCATTTTATGAATATATCGTTGTGCAGTAAGTATGTTTTGCGCATCGATCATTTGTTATTCATAACGTCAAAGCAAATACTATTCGTGCATCATAGTATCTTGACACGATATTTTAATAATACATTTAAACTAGTACATTCTCTAATCGCGTTTAAAGAGATAAGAATTTGCAGGAAATACTTTCCATTTAAAGTCGACATAATAAAAATGTATCTGTCAATAATCATTTTTATGCATATTGAATACGAAGAAAGTTAGTTCGTTTATGTTTTTAAATGTGTGTATTTAACTCACAACTCTCATTCATGAATAAATGTGGCCAATGTTCTCCGTTGTGTTCGCAAGGGTTCTTCAATTGAATGTCCAAGCTGGTTAGTTCTCCTTTGAAGAATGCATCGTTTCTTACCGATGCCCTGGATTGTCCTTTCTCATTGATTCTTGCTATTCGTGCTTCGGTTAAGATAATACCCTTGTATCTTTCGATAGCTTCGTTAATAATATCGCAATTCTCATTTGTTGTCTAAAAGATATATTAAAAAAAAACGCGAATAGAAAATAAATGTTATATGTAAGAAAAATTTCAATGATATCATAAACGAATTAAAAAGGAATAAAGAAAAGATGAGATAATAAACAATAGATCTAAAAATAACGAATAAATAAAAAAAAATAAAATAGATTAATATAAAACTTACATGAAATTGGAATGTGGATGGTCGTAAAAAATAAAATTCATTTTTAACTAATCTCTCATTGGGTTTTGGCCAAATTTCACCTTTCGTTGGTACCACCCATGATCCAGCAAATGAATGCAATTGGACGGATGGTGTTGGTAACGAAGCTAAGAGTTTTATAAATAATAATGTATTTATCAAAGATGAGAGCCACATGTTTCTTTGATGGGTGATGATCAAGAATGGACTTTAAGTAAAACACTTTGTCGGACAAGAACGATCCGTTGGCAACGAGCGGTCATCGTCTACTGACGATGATGCTACCAAGCTATGCCAACCGAAGCCCGAGTAGATATAAACGAAGAGAAACATAGAAAGAAAGGGAAAGAGAGAGAGGGAGAGAGAGAGAGAGACAGACAGATAAAGATACAGATACACTGACTGAGAGAAAGAGAGTGAATTTGTTCGGTGGTCGCGTGTGTAGGAACCTGAGAAAGGAGAAGAACGGTGAGCAGAGTGCTAACGACCTTAGCCCGGCACTTAACTTTTATCACTTTGGCCCCACGAGTGCTCACGGTCAAGTGAGACTAAACCAGTCCTTTCTCTTTCTCTCTCTCTCCTTCCCTGCCTCCCTCTTTTTCTCTTTTCCTCTTTCTTTCTATTTTTATTTATTTCTTTTCCTTCTACAGACGCAAAGTCGTGATCCTTAATGTTCCCCTTCGTGAAAATGTGTTCGTTCATTCGTCCGAGGACGACGACCTGTAATAAGAAGGATAAGGATAAATTCGTGTTAATAATTTATGTTAGAAAAAGGAATAGAGAGAGAGAGAGAGAGAGAGAAGTTTCATTGGAAGATAAAGAGTTTGATAAGGAATTTTTTAAATAATTTTTTAGTAATATTTTTCTATTGTATGGATTTTTATATTGATCTTTGTTTCTGGGAACAAATTTTAGGATAATTTTTCTTATCGAAGTCTTACATTGATTTGTCATAAGATGGATACATGAGAAAAGGATTCATCGTAAGACAAAGAATTCTTTTTATTTATATCATTTATATATTATATATATATAATATATAATTTTTTCACATCGAGTCTTAGAAAATTTGGATAGTTATTTTTGGAAAAAATTAATTAACTGCTACTTGAGTATTCATCGTAGATACCGTTCTAACGTTGAAGCGCTTGACCTAATTTAATTAATTCTATTTAATTATATGCTATTATTTTTTTCTTCATAACGTTGAGAATCGTGCAGGTAGAGTATAAAGTAAGTCGATGGGTCTTGAGATAATACGCTTGCTTCGATTTTTTTTTTTTCTTTCTTTTGCAAGAGATACTTTATCTTCAACGTATTTTCAAAATAATCGTTCGTGGTTAATCTCTTATGGAAATAACACCATAACGTATTAATGAGTATAATGGGTCTTGTATATATTTTATCAAATCTTACGTAACATGAGAGTAATCTCGTTTTTTCATTAATATTTTAATATCTACTAGATTGCATATAATACATAATAATAATAATAATAATAATAATAATAATAATAATAATAATAATAATAATAATAATAATAATTAGAAAGAAAATTTTGTAATCTTTAATTTCGCGTTATCAAAAATTCTAAATGTGTATTTATATATATATATATATATATTTTTCTGATTATGTTTAAAATCATACTTATTAAATTCATGTTATTAAAAATTTCTAAATTTACTTTAATTTAGTACCTATTCTGAAGCCTAATAATTCCAAAACATTTTTTCTAAATTTCTTCTTTCCTCTTTCGTTATTTTTGTATTTTAATCAATATTTTCGTGATCACAAAAAGCAAAAATTCCCTCACTCCAATATAAAAAAGTTTTGAAGGTGTCTGATAGTAGGACTTAACACAAATATATAATTAATTTCAAATATTTTTTAGATTAATTATTCGTAACCTATAAAATCGTTCATATTCTCAATGCAAGACTGACAGTATATACTTTAAATGTAATTTGAAATAATAAAAAAAAATCAATCTTCTTCCATTGTTTATTTCTTTTCGCATTTTTTTATAGGAGTAAATAATTCGAAATCGATGGTAAAACGATTAAATACGGAGTTCAATGGGCCCTCGAGATAATGGGTCATCTTCATCATTTCTCGGATAATATTTGTGTTTACTTGTGTTTAGATGAAAGATAACGCACTGTTTTTAAAACGTTATCAGTCCACTCGAAGAGTGATTTTAATGGATTTGACAAAAAATCGTTATACGTCTATCGATTTTTCGGTTTGCTGATAACAAAATCCTATTTTTCTTAAAGTGCATACTGATAACATTAATAACAAAAACAATAATAATATTTCAATGAGAGAAAAAGGTTATCAAAATGAGGAATTTACTGTTAAAAGATCATCGCGTCAATGTATTATAAAAAATACAAATGAAATGATGGGACTAGATTCGGAAAAAAATGAAAAATAATATGAGATACGTGTGTATAAAATAAAAAAGTATAATAGCCAACGTAAAGATAATTAGATTAAGTTATCGATATGCTAATTAATTCAGGATATTATTCAATAAAATATATGAATAAAACAAAATCTTTGTTGAATACAAAATTTTATTTCTGTTAAAGTGCATATTAATACTACCAATAATAATAATGATAATAATATACCCGTGAGGGGGCGGGTAAGAATACCCTCTCAGTAATCCCTGCTTGTCGTAAGAGGCGACTAAAAGGGAAACCACTAACAGGGATAAACCCTCCTTAGGTGTGTAAAACGAGTTTAACAAAAATTCAAAGAAATCTCAGATAGTAATAATAATTTTTCAGCGAAAGGGAGAAAGAGAGATTATCAAACTGAATAATTTGTTTTTAAAAAATGACAACGTCTATAAATTATAAAAAAAAAGAAAATTAAAAATCTCGTGATAGATTCAAAAGAAATATAATATCAGGGACGTGTATAGAAAAAAGAAAAAAGAGTATAATAAGTAGCGTAGAGATGGTTAGATGAAATTATTGATATGTAACTAATAATCTGGATGTAACTGAATGAAAGAAATCAGTAAAAAAGAAAAAAGTAACCAAAAGAAGATAAAAAATGAGGGAAGGTAGAAAATTACAGAGAACAAACTCGGTGGACAATTAAATGAGATCGGTGAAGAGAGAATACAAGCGACGTGGTCGAGACGGCGTGTTATCCAAAGGAGACGCCTCCGATCGTAAAATACGAGTTTGCGCGTTTGCCTCCTCTTATAAGAGCACCGCGAGGTGAATTACACGTGCTGAAACGAATGCGACGCGCTTGAATATCGTATTAACCTGTATACGCGTACATGTAGAGTCGTGTAATAGTATGGGTTGATCGTAGAGAAAGAGAAAGAGTGAGGGAGAGAGAGAGAGAGAGAGAGAGAGAGAGAGAAAGAGGATAAGAGGTATAACGATGGACGAACCCAGATTTATGTTAATGGATCGTTGGAAGATGAACGACCCCGAGCGTTGATTGGACGATGTTATAAATTTTTATTGAAAAAGATTTAGTTTAAAGTGGAGATCACATATATTATATGAAAGAAGGAATGAATATTACGGACAAATTTTCTTGCGTTACCCCTTTTTCTTCGATCTCGTTATTAATAATTTCGCATAAAAATTGTTGTTTGCATTTATAATTGTGATTTTTTGTTTTCTTTTTTTTTTCTTTTCGAATGACAAAACAAAATTTTGGTAAAGTTTAAAAAATTTGTTTTTCGATCGACAATCGTAATCCGTTGATAAGAGGAGCATTCTTTGGTCGTATAATCAAACACGTGCGTGTTACGACACTAGTTCACGTGCCGGAAATTGTATAATAAGTGTAGGTATATATTGTCTAGGACACTGCATGATTCATGTAACGTTCGTTCTTAGATTTTACAATTAGAGAGGATGATAATTGATAGGAATCGTGTTAGAGTATAATTATGAAAGAATTGTTTTTTTTTCAATTATTCGTTTTATTCTATTTTTAAATGCTACACACGAGAGATTATTATTACTTTTTATATTGTCGTAAATATAAATTTTATTATTTTGTTTATTGGAGAGGAAATATTTTTTTCTACATCTATACGTGGGTTTTTTCTTTTTTCTCTTTCTCTCTCTCTCTCTCTCTCTCTCGTGGGCGAGACTGCAAAAATAAACGAGAAAGAGTACGGTCGACGATCGTACGGCACTGCTCGGTGAATCGTAGCTTCATTGATTGCAACGACGTACGCTGGGTGGATGGTCGTCAGGGGTGAAAGGAGGGTAGATTCGAACTAGAACGTGCATTCAGTGCTGGCTCGTACTTTTCAAAAACCCCGACTGTTTGTCGACTTAAAGGAGATATTTGCTTAACATCAAAATTTTAAATCCAATGATCACCTTCTCCAACAATTCCTATTTCCATTCTAATCTCAAACGAACAATAACGAAAAAAGAAACAAATTAATCTTTGACGTGAATATAAAACAAGTCTTCAAATTACTATTAACAAAACATTAACTTTAATTGACCTAATAACAAGACAACTCATAAATATATTCGATTTCATATTTAACAGGACATCCAAATTGGATAATAAAAATTTCAAACGTACCGCCAAAAAATAAATACCCTCTTCAAAGGGATCGCGCCGAAAAATGAAATCTCCTTAAATTATTCGAAAACTAATTCTAATTTACGTGACCTCCAAACTCCAAAAGTTGCGTTGAAAAATTGAAAAGTAATGACGGATAAAAAAATTGGATTGTGCAAAAAAAGTAAAGGAAAAATATGTTAAAATTTAGCGCCCACGATAAAGATCGTTTCTCGGCATTTAATCCCAAAGCGCTTGCGGGGGCGTTTGCGCACCGGGTAGAGCTTCGCGCGCAAGACTTCGAAGGTGGGGCGCGAGTCGATGAGAGAGAATCCGGATGGAAAAGGTAAAATAGGGGTGAACGGGGGTTTGGGTAGGCGGGGTGTGGGGTGGAGGGGCCGTTGAAGGAGAAGAGAAGAGATGGAGTAAAAGAGATGGCTGGTGGGAGAAGGGAGGTTGATGGGCGGCCGAGGGGTGGGCGGGTTGGGCGGGTTTGGGAGTATGTTGAGATTGTTGGGTGGTTGAGGGGGTGGTGGAGTAAGGGCTTAGAGAATAGAAAATCGAGCGGGCGAGAATACGCGTCGACGTCGTCGTCGTCGTCGTCGTCGTTGTTGTTGTCGTCGTCGATGACGTTGGTGACGTGGATGGTGGCGCTAGTGTCGTAGAAAATGATGGTGTAGTTTAATAGTAGTAGTAGTAGTAGTAATAGTAGTAGCAGTAGTAG